ATTTCGCAACTTGGCAATCACATAGTGCCACGTGCTACGCGTTTAAATCAAAATTTTTGTCCACTTAAATGAAAAACTTTACGATTCCATTTTCTTCTTTGTCTTGGTTTTCTTGGGTGTAACCAATTTTTTTTCTTTCTTTTTTCTTTTGAATCCAATAATCAGAAAAAGAGAGAGAAAGAGAGAGAGAGGGGAGTTTCCAATATAATCGAACGCTAAAGTTGAGGCAAAAGATGTGTATCGAGAGTCGCGCAACTGACCGACAGCTGTAAGAAATGTTTTCACGTCCACACTGGTTGCGACGAAACTTGTGGGGATATTTCTTGAAGAGAGTTAAACTTTACTTGAAGAATATATTAAAGTATCTTTGTGAAAATTCCAAAAAATTACTATAATCAAACTTTTAAATATATTTTAAAATTTCAAATAAAACGTAAATAATATTTACGTTTTATTTTTTAATTTAATTAAAAATTAAATTGAAAATAAAAATTTTCTTTTTAAGTTCAATCTCTTCTTGAAAAATTAATTATGTTTCACATGTGTTTTACTTATAAAAAATGCACAATTTTTCTCATTTGACACAAAATAAATTTTCTATAAATGTTTTTGTTTTTATCAGGATCTTTTTGCTTTAAAGAATATTAATTAAAAATCCATTAAAATTTTATTCTATATATATATATATATAATTTTTTGACGGTGTTTTATTTTTCTTTGGCTCTCAGTGTAATAAAATTTTTTAACACAAAAAAAAAATTCTTGCACTTATATTTTGAGCGTGCAATAATATTTATATTCATTTACACTTTTATCAATGTCATATTATTAGGATTGGATTTGATGTTGCATTATTCTGATTGCTTTTCCTCGATATAATAACTGTTTTTTTTTTTTAAATTTTATATATCACAAAATGAAAAAAATTCCTATTAATACCTATAAAATACATTTAATTTTAATGTAATAAGCATATTTTATTAAAATATTACAAAAATTAACAAAAATAAATATGGAAAAAATTGATCTCTTCTTCAAATTTAACATTTTTTTTTTCAAATTATAGTTAATTAAAATTAATAATTAAATAAATAAGACTTTAATTTTTTTTAGAATATTTAAATACAAAAGTATTTATAACAAAATGTTTTTAACAAGTTTTGGATTTTTGTTTCATGTAAAAAATGACACTACGTCTATTATATTCTGCCGTGTTTTCTAAAAACTTAGGTAACTGCAAAAAAATCGAAAAATGAGTTTTTTATATTGTTGGAATCGTGGAAAAAAGATACACCTGTTAATGCAAATTATTTTAAAAAATTGTTAATATTATTAATAATAATTTTTGAATAAATAATTGAAAATACTGGTAACTGCAAAAATTGATGAGTGATAATTTGAGAAACTTAGGTAACTGCTATAAAAACTGGGGTGTCATAGGGTGTTGTGACGTATTTTGTAGATCGTGATTTGAAGAACTTAGGTAACTGCACAGTGCCTTAGTTTCTCAAAACACGGACCTTATTTTTCGAGCTCTCGTCGCATGGAAAACTTAGGTAACTACAGAGTGCTATCAGAGCACTGTAGTTACCTAAGTTTTCCACGCGACGAGGCCTCGAAAAAGGAGGATCGTAATTTGAAGGACCAAGTAACTGCAAAATCTTATACATTTTTTTAAAATTACAATGTTTTTTCTGCAATTAATAATTTATAATAACAATAAATAATAAAATAAAAAACTCCAATACTATATATATAATATATATATATATAATTATACCTAAATAATAATTTATCAATTATTGAAAAATTAAGTATTAATTTTAATAAATAACATAAAAGCATTAATAAATAAAGAAAATGAAGTTCACACGGAGAAAAATGGAAAAACGAATAAAGTAACTTTTACTACTTTAAAAGTAAAATTAGACCTGTCCGAAGTTTCTGCGCATCTCTGGCAACTTTTACTCGAAAAATAGTAAAATTGACTATTTCTGTAGTAAATTTTACTGTTTCCGTAGTAATTTTTACTATTTCTGAAGTAAATTTTACTATTTTTGGAGTAAAAGTTGCCAGAGATGCGCAGAAACTTCGGACAGGTCCAATTTTACTTTTAAAGTAGTAAAAGTTACTTTTTCTTTTTTTCCGTGCAGCAATATGTTTATTTCATGATTAATATATAATTAATTTAGTTCATTTATTAAAAAAATTAAAATTGTTTTTAATTATTTCAATAAACGTTAATAAAGCAGCGAACTACATTACCTACAATAATTTGACTTTAATATTGTATAATTAAAATAAATTCAATCATATAGTTTAATATTTGTAAAAAACAATAATTAATTATAATGATAACTTTCGCATCTTATTAAATAATTACACTTTATTATTTATTATTTTTTTTTATTTATTTTTATATTATTATTTAATATATTCTGAGTTAATACAATATTTGATTCTAATATTGTATAATTAAAATAAATTTAACCATAAAATTAAATATTTGTAAAAAAACAATAATTATAGTGACAACTTTCCCAGCTTATTAAATAATTATAGTTTATTATTTAATATATTTTAACTATTTTTTGCCAAGAAAGATGAAAATTCTTATATATTCCCTGTAGTTACCTAAGTTTTCTGTGCGACGAAAGGCCTAATACGGGCACTCGTAGCACGAGGGACCAAGTAACTACCAGTTACCTAAGTTTCTCGTGCGACGACCCTCGAATCAGCATACCGGTAACTACATTTTTAATAATTTATTGAATGTTTAAACAAATACAACATTTATTTTTACATAATTAAAAAGAATAAATTTAGACGAGTCGAAGGAACAAAACGGCATTTAAAAATTTTAATTAGGCTTTGCGGTACATATCAATGAAGTTTAAACAGTTTTTCGCGTTTTTCTCGAAATCTTTCATTCTGCAGTTACCTAAGTTTTTAGAAAACACGGCATAATATATTTTATTATATATATAAAAATTTTGATAGTGTTTCTTTTAATATTTTATTATCGTTTTTTTTTTGCTAATTATATATATATATATACACACACAAAAATGCATACTCTCGCACATTTATACACATATACATTATATGAAAAATTGATTTTTTCAAAAATGCAATTACAGAATAAGAAAATATGAGGTTTGAAGTCTCAGGGGAAAACAAAAGGAATTTCTTCATATATTGGAAAGTATTCAAAAGATAATAAACATAATGAATAAAAGACAATTTTCTTTTTATAGTTGCCAATCATCATTTTTTAGTTTATTGATAAAATTGAAAATAATAATTAAGTTAATTATCTTAGTTTATTCCTAATTTTGTATGTATACAATCTATGTTCCAGCACTGGTAGAATTAACTTTGATTAAGGTTTATATGGTACTAGCTTAAGTCTGGAAAATGTGTTTACTGAGAGGTGTTATCGTCCCATTCTAATACTAATACCATTTTCATATATATATATAGTTCTATAATGACAAGCAATCTCTATAGAGCAAATTTCACGTAATTTTAAGTCATTTGTTAATTTACCATTAAATAATAATGAATACCATCATTATGTATTGTTAACAAAGCTTATATAATCTATAATTCAGTGAGCAAAACGTGCTCTACCTGTATATAAATTTGCCGACAAAACGTGACGAATGCTTCAAAATGCACTTATTTTATTTTATCCTCTTTTAATGGATAATAATAATAATATAAACTGTGCACAATTTCTAAAAATTATTTATTTATTTTTTTTTTGCTAAAAAGGAAACATTGCCTCGATTTTTCAATATAATATAGATGAATAAAATGACTTTTTCTTTATAATTAATGATTTTGATTATTATAGATATTAAATATCAAAATTTATATATCACAAGGACTGACACAATTTTTATTGAATATTAAATTTGAATTAATTGTTGACTAAATATGTCATTAAATTTTAATATTTATAGTAGAGCTGTGCAAAAGTTCGAATTTTGTATGGGCTCGGATCGAATATTCGATTCGAGCCCATGTTAATTCTTATGGAGCGGTTCGAATTTTAAAAACTTGCACAGCTCTATTTTATAGTTTATTGATTCAATGTGAGATATAATATATATATATATATATATATATGATAGATAATTACTGCATTATATACATTATGGGGCTTTTGAAGTTATAAACACGAGCATTACTATGTAACATATCAGAAATGTTGACAAAGCTAAAACACAAGCCGGGTGGTGTTTAAGTTTTGTTAAATGTACATCACGTATAACAAATAATAGACTCCTATTTACCGTGTAATTTATGACCCATATGATACGTGATATCCGCCTTATAGAATAAATTCGAACACATTAATGATACTATTATTGCAGTAAAATTGGAACATGTCCTCATTTATATATATATATATATATATATACTATAATTCATATTTTTTAATTCAATCAATTATCATTTTTTGGAAATAGAGAAAACATTTTATTTTCAAATTAAATAATTTTGAAATTTTATTGTTCTCTCTAAATTTGAATCAGTGAGATTTCACTGATGTAATAGCTGGATTTTAGCAACTAAATCATTTTAGTAACATTTCCACTGAAATTCAATTGTATTTCAATAAAAATTAGTAGAATTATTTACAGATTCAAATAATCAAATCTGTTTTAACGATTAATGATAATGTAGATTTGACTATTTAAATCAGTAATAATTCGACTGAATTTCAGTGAAAATGTTAGTGAAATAATTCAGTTTACAGATATTTCATCAGTGAAATCTCACTGATTTAAATTTAAGGAGTTGATAAAATAAGTATCATTTTTTGAAATAATCATACTGAAGTTGAACAAAAATTAGTCGATTCAACTCATTTTGAGTTGAGAATTTTTTCTGTGCAATGTTTCCATTTTGGTAAAAACATTTTTTCGTAAAGTAAAAAGAGAGGAGAAAGAAAAACAAAGAAATAGAAAAAAAATTTGAATCTACTATAGGAAAGGAATACTATGATCTGACCGGAAGTCCAACAACGATGACCAGTGGATCGTTTAGAACTGCTTCACACAATGGACATCATAGCACAGGTCCAATGACCATTGAATATAATGGTCATCATCCACCGCGAGAACCGCGAAAAGAAGAAAACACCTTCGTAAGAAGAAGCTTCAGAAGAAGCGACGAGTGGTGCGCCGATAGTAGGAGGTGCGTTGTCATCTACGCTTTAATAAATATTTAATAAATTAATATTAATTATTTCAAGAAAATAGCTTTTAAGTTTATTTTTGACAAAATAATTATATATTGTATTGTCCCAACAAAAAAATATTTGTGCGACTATATATATATATATATATATATATATATATATATATATATATCTCGGAAAATTATTTTTTTGTTACAACAATATTGAATATATTTGAAGGGTAGAATGACAAAAGGGGTCAAGCGCCAATTCACTGTTTTTACAGGAAGTAAAAAAAACATTTTTAAAAATTTTGCAGGTCATTTAAAAAAAAACTGAGAAAACCGTTTCGATATATTAGTATGTTTTAATATAAATAAACAACAATTTGTTGAAATAAACCTACATATTAACGATAAAATTAAAAAAAACTGTGGTTCCTTGAGGTTATATCAACTGCGCACATTTTCTTTAAGCATTAATTATAAAAAAAATATACAGTTTAAAGAAAAACTGGAAAATTAGTTTCTTTCTATGGAATCAACGAAATGAATAGAAAAAAAAATTCCTTTAAAAAATTGTTTGTTTTCAAGAAAATTACGAATTAATTGCTTGCTTTGGAATTGAGCAATACTTTCATCTTTAAATTCAATTGTTCACTTAGTATAACCATAAAAATATTTAAAAATTAATAACAAAATGATTTTAAAATGGTTTAAAATTGAAAATACATTATTATTATTATTAATTTTATTAATTAAAATATTATTAAAATAAAATTAAAATAAAATATTAAAATAAAACCTAAAAAAATAATATTTTTTTTTATTTTGATAATATTATTGACTCACCACTTTCTTTTGTTTTTCAATCAGGTTGCAATAAAGTAAATTTGAGGCTATTTTATTAATTTAATTTTTATTAAAAACTGATTTAAATACGCAATAAAAAAGGAAATCCTTCTACAGAAATGTGTAAATGAATTTTCTTGATTTTTTTATGCAAAAACCTCATTTTCGATAAATTGGCGCTTGACCCCTTTTGTCATTCTACCCTTCATTTACTTAGCAAAAATAATTTTAACCCGCCGTGACTAAGGTAGGGTAAATTTTACCCTATGAAACTTTTATTCCTCGATAGTTTGAACTAGGAATGCTGAATTTTACTGCGATTTTTATATAAATGCAAATTTTGTTGTGACACTAATAAATTACATTACTAGACAATATAAAATAAATTTGTTAAAAAATTTCCATGATTTTAAGCTTTTCTTAAATATAGAAACAGAAAATCATTATAGGGTAAAATTTACCCTACCTTAGTCACGGTGTTACAAAATTGAACCTTAGTCTCGCCGGGTTAAAATATGAAAAACTTGACGGAATTAAATTCAATAATTTGAATGTTTAATCAGAATGTCCAAGAAGTTAATAGTAACGCCATTTTGTTTTTACAAAATAGAATTTTTGTGCTAATTTGTGCTGAAAAAATTTTTGTCGAAAAAATTATAATTCGGACTAGAATTAAAAAAAAAACATTTTAAAATTAAAAAATGCCACTTATATGTACTTTACACTCTAAATTTGAATTAGTCCCTTTTTACTAATTCAAGTTAGCCAATTGACTAATTTTTAAAATTAGTAAAAAATGACTAAAATTGCTAATGTAAGTCTACTATTTCAATAAGTAAACTTTAATAAATAAATTAGTAATTTTCAACTGTCAGTTATTAATTTTTTATTAAAAATTATTGAAAACGGTTACTAATTAATTTAAAGAACGAATCGGCCCAGTCGATTGTGATTAATTCAGATTGAATGAAAAAAATAATTCAAACTTGAATTTCGCTAGATAATTTTTTAAGCCAGAAATAATTAATAATTATTATTTTAAAAAAACAAATTTTGTGCTAAAATTGTTCTTGTCCAGCACAAAAAGAAGCAGTTATAAAAATTTACGAAAATTCAGAAAAATTTCAAAATAATTCAATTTTTAAAACAAGTTATTTAACCCAGCACAAAAAGAAATATTTGTTTTTGAAAAATAATAATTTTTTAAGCGGAGGCACCGCCTTTATTTTGACTCTTTCAAATTTTAATTATGACACGATGTTATATTTTTTTATTCCATCATTTGGGTCCTAAAACATACAAGGTGGTCAAAAAAAGAAAATCTTAATTTTTGAATATTTTAAAATTTACATTCAGCACAAAATTTGTATTTGAAAAATAATAATTTTTGAATATTTCTTGGTGAAGAAATTATTTTTTGCATTGTTTAAATCAACTTAAAAACGCTCAGCTATAGCGATTGTCTCTTGAAGGTGGAACGGTTTGAGATAGAATGCCTCAAGAGTTATTGTTCTGGTTTTGCACAATTGTTAATTTTAAAATTGTAAGTGACATTTTTGAGTTTTAAAATAAATATTTTTCTTAAATACGTTTCCTAATTAACATTTGGCACAAAAATTATTATTATTATTATTATTTTTTTTAAACAAAATTATGTTGCAATCTTTTTGGACGTCAGATCAGATCGTCATGAAACAACATTCAATAATATTGAATTTCGCATTAAGTTCACGTGAATCTGAAGTTAAAAGAAACATTTTTCAATGTAGTTTCGTATATCAGTGTCGGTATATATTGGCATAAAGTAATCGTAAAATTCATATATACATATATATTAATATTGGGATACATTCTAAAAAGTGTGATATGTATGTGTGTGCGCGTATATGGCACATTGGCAGGTTCACTGAGAGGAGGGGGAAAAAAACAGTAAGATTTCATGGAGGGACCAATGTTGGTGACTCTCAGGAAGAATGGTCATGGGAAGTCGATCGGCAAGGTAGTCAAGATAGTGCAACCAAAGATTCTGGAATAGATACATCCAGCACCTTTACAAGCAGTGAAGACAGCAACAGGGGCGACTTGCCCAAGGTACAGGCCGATCGCACCTCATGAAACACATGATTTCTGTTCAAAAACTTTACCCTCATATCCAACTTCCAAAATCGAATATATATATGTAAATATATGTACAATATTTGAGACAAAGAAAAAAGAATCATTCAATTTTATAGAGGGTAACTTTTTTGATTCTTTATATGACTCTAACATTCTGTCTTGTGAATCGTTCGTAGTTAAATATATATATAGAACCATATGTACTGTCCCAACACGATTGCCAGAAATTTTTTACGATTTTCAAAATATGCTTTCTAAAATCCTTTTTCATCTTGTTTGTTTCCTTATGTGTATCTATTCTCATCTTTACTTCCTTTACAAATGTTGCTTAATCTCAATTTCTAGGATTAAACGTAATAAATGTTTTTCTTGATTTAATGTAAACTTGTTTTCTCTATATAAATTGAGAAAAAAAAGGTTTGAGTTGATAACAAAACATTTTGTTTAATACATGCAATAAAAAATTATTATTGCGTCAACAAAATTTTGGTTCTCCTAATCAGACTTCACACAGTTAAAATTTGGTTAATACAAACCAAATATATAGAAAAACTAATGGAATTTTGTTGTCTTAATCGAAAGTTAAAAAAAGTTTTATTGAGATAACCAAAATTTTGTTGACGCAACAAGAAAATTAGTTGCAGAAATATTATTAACCAAAATGATTTGTTGACAACTCAAACCTTTTTTCTCAGTGTGCAAAGGAATAAATTTTCAGATATAAAAAAAAAAACCGAAACTTTTGAATGAATTAAAATTCTGGCAATCCTGTTATATATACTTGCTCAAGTAGCTGTTAGGATATTATAATAATGATCGAATAAATTTCAACGAATATTTGAGTAAGGAATATATAATAATTAGCGCGACACAAGATTTGATAACAATTAAAATTTATAATTGTTCGTATAAAATTTCCTTACCCAAGCATTTGTCAAGTGTACGGGCTTGCAATTCTGACTTAAGTGCTTACTTTTGAGTGAATGCAAGGTTCTCTTAATTGCTAACTTCTTGTCAAAGGAAGGTCTTCTGTCATGTCACGAAAAATTTGTTTTCTCTCCCTCATCCACATTTACATCTATATATATATATATATAAGTACACCAAAATGGTCATTTTAATCACTTCTCAGGAGTAAAAAAAAATCAAAAATGAGAAACATTTATAAAATAGGCTATTATGATACATTGCATTCGTATTTCTAGCATACATACTCATTTTTATAAGCTCCGGATCTTCAAAGGGCCTACGCATGAATTTACGTCATCAGTTTTGGCCCCTGGTGTTAAAATTTTCAATATTAAATTCCAAAGATAAAAATCAACTTGTTTTTGATATTGAACAATTTCAAAATTTTAACACCAGGGGCCAAAACTTATAACGCATATTCGAGCGTAGATCCTTTTTAAGATTCGGAGCACATAAATTGCCTGTTTTTTTTTCCTTTAATTTAAAAAGTTATTGTGACATAATAGCCTTATATAAAACTTTCTTCATTGTTCAACTGAAAAGTGAACAATTTTTTGAAAACGAAAGAAAAATATTTTCTTTTTTATATATACCATATTATAATAAGAGATTCATGTATATGCATTGTACAATCATTTTTCGATTTATTTATCTCTTATTTCTATAAAAATTTCTTTCGTTTCGCGTCTTCTTTATTTTCTACAATCATCATGATTTAATATTGCAATTGAATCTACCAAAAATATTGTGCGTATATTTATAAAAATTTAAAAGTAATTTTTTTATATTCTCGAAAAATAACAAGTACTCTTTTTAAAAATTATAAAAAATAATATTTCATTTTGCAAGCAAAAAAAAAAAAATTATTGCTTTGAGGATTTAGTAGGATTATTTCAAGAATCATTATTCTTTAGAAAAAAATCGACAAATCTCTTTTCATATAAAGTCTAACGATATAAATGAAGTTTTCTTTTAACTATTTTGATTCAACTGAAAGGGAAAATATAACCCTTTATGGAATTATGTTCTTTTTCATATATATGCGGTATTAAATCAAACAATAACTGTTCATGTATATACATAAATATCTAAATCCTAAATACTTGAATAAAAAAAGGAAAAGAAAACAAGAAAAAAAAATTCTATAAGCTTGGTAGTAAGAAAAAATAGTAATTTAATTGCACCGAATGACGTACTTATACTTTTCATTTGGATGACATTGAAAATAATTTTTTTTCGATCAAAAGAACAAAACAAAGCAAAAAAAAATTAATAATGCGTTTCACTATAATACGAATTATTAATATTGGCTTTAATTTTAAATTGTTTTTTTTTTAAATTATCCAAATGAAATGATAGAATTCTGTGATTTAGCGCTTCATTATATCAAATTCGAACTATATGACAAAAATATAGTTATAGAATTTTGTTACAAGAAATTAAAAAAATTTAATTGAATGAAAATTTAATTTAATTTTAATATTAGATAATATTTAGCAAATTTCAATATATTAATTAATAATTCCGTTTTTATTTATTTTTAGTCAAATAGTAATTATAATACAATATAATAATACAATTTAATTTTAAGCTACACCAGTGACTAAACAAAAACAAATTTATCTTGCATGACACTCAATTGTTTTTATTACAGACTGAATGCTGGAAAGTTGCCTTCTATATTGCATGTATAATATTAGCATGTTTTAATTTATTTTTCTTCATTTATAAATTCTACATGCTTTTTGCATGCTCCGCAAAAGATCTTTCAGTGTATATATATAGCATATTAATTTTTTTTTCTTTTTAGTTTAGTTGTAATATTATGTATGTATGTATATAGAAAGCTTTAAAAAGTGATCTCTATTTGTTTTATATATATGTATGTATGTAACGTAAATGCCCCGGGTCTCATCACTGCATTAGTTACCGTCAGTTTGGTTAAAAATTACAAAAAATATTTTTAAATTTAATGAAGATAATATTTTTACAATTATAAATAATTATTTTTATACAAATAATAATAATAATAATAATAATAATAATAATAATAATAATAATAATAAATTGCTTCAAATTTTTAAATTACTTAGGTGTGACGATTACTGAAGCGAAGATAACTGGAGCATTTACTTTATACTTCAACTGTTGCACCTGTTCATTTCAAGAATCTTCATCTGTTTTCTATATGTATAGGTATATCTTTTGCAAAATAAAACAGGTGATCTCGAAATGGACAGGACCTTTATTATTATTTTTGGATGACTTTTTGTTAAATTTTATATATAGGATATTTTACGAAATATACTTTTAGATATTGGAAATATTGATTCCGAATGAATAGCGGATAATAATAATTTTCGTATATATATATTAACAAAAGATAAAATTTTGTTCGAATTTTTTGTCGTCTTTTTAATATTTGAAATTCTTTTGTTTTTTTTTTATAAATTATTAAAAACCTAATATTAATAAAAAAATGTTTAAAAACTCACTTTTAAAATATTGTTTCCAACTTGTTCGAAAATTACTAAGTTTTTAGAACTTATATATAAAGTTTCTAAAGTTATTTAAACTTTTTAAAAATTTCGTAAAGTATTCGTTTATATTATCAATAAATAGAACTTGTTCGATATCAAGAAATAATAATAGAGATTAATTAAAATTTTAATAATTTAATAAAGAAATAAAAAAATATATATAATTCGAAAAAACAAACATTTTTTATTTCTTCAGCTTATTAAAAAAAAAATTTATTCAAAGTAATGGGGATTAAAAATTTACTATGACAAAATTTTAAAAGGTTTTATTCATTTTTCTATAGAGACTTTTATAAAGCACATTTCATGTACTTTTCAATGTCAAATAAACTATTTACAAATAAAAATATTTAAGCCCTCTTTTTTTCAAAATGAATAAGTCTTATTTTTTAGTTTAGATATTTTTTTCAAATAAAAAAATGTACTTTTCAATGCCATATAAACTATTCACAAATATAAATATTTAAACCCTCTTTTTTCAAAATGAATAAGTTTTATTTTTAGTTTAGAGATTTTATCCAAATAAAATATAATATATATATATATATATATATAAAGATAAACAGTGGAACAACAATGGTTTTCGAGAAAATGTATTTAAAAAAAAAACATGGTAAAAAGAGCTTTCAAATGAAAAAAATTAAATTGGGTCAATATTGAAAAAAAGAGAATTAAATTTTTTTTTCGAAATGAATTTTTTGTCACTGAAAAGTACATGAACATTACTTTCAAAATCCCTGTATAAAAATTAAGGGGAGTCACCACCCCTAATTTTGACCCATTTAAATTTAAATTATTAAATGAGGTTATATATTTTTTGTTCCATCATTTGGGTTCTATAAAACATACAGGTTTTTTAAAACATTAAATGTTAATTTTTTCTCTTTTAGAAATTAAAGTCGTAAAAAAATTAATATTTTAAATATATAATCTATCTTCTTTCACAATTTTGACTATTTTTTGTCGACAATTTTTTTCCACGCTTTTTTTTAATGCTTCTTAAGAACCATTCAAAAATGGTCAAAAATTAAAATTTTTTTTCCATTGAGCATCTAATATGTTTTTAGGTCCCAAATGATACAAGAAAAAAATATAACCTCGTTTAATAATTTAAATTTAAGTGGGTCAAAAATGGGGGTGGTGCCTCCCCTTAAGATCTATAAATTTATGTTACAGTTATAAGAATTTTAAAAAAATGTATTGAAAAAATTCTGGTTATAATATATTTTTAAATCAATCAAACTTTAGTTAACACGACCAAATAATAAAAATAAAGGAATTTTGCTGTCTTAAAGTCATGTGATTTTAATATTTAACGCAAACAGAACTAAAAATTAATTTCAAACAACTTTAGAAGATTTAGTTATACCCTATTCAGAAAAAATTATGTTGCGTTAAAATCTTTTTTTAAATAATGATTTTTTTTTAATATTTTGACTTTTTTCTTTCAGTTTAGAAATAAGTAGCAATTTCTATACAATTATACTTCATGATGAAAGGGACCTTGCTGCAAAAATTTTAAGTTATGTTTAGTGATAGTTATATCTTGATTAAACATTAATTTTTAATTATGTAAAGTAAAAATCAGTTTTTATTGAATATTTTGGATTTAATGAAAACTTAAACATTACTGGTTTGTATTAAAAGTTGATGCTCTTTATGTATTTTCACTCTAAAAGTCACAAACATAACCTAAAATTTTTTACAACTAAGGTCCCTTGCATCGTTAAGCGTCATACATGTTGTTAAAAAATTATAAACAATTTTTATTGAATTTTTGATTGCGTTAAAAACCATTTTTTTGTTACATATATATATATATATATATTTATATATATCTATATATGTGAAATCACATGACCTTAACAAAAGTATTGTTGCGCCAACTAAAATTTAATTGGAACGACCAAAATTTTGTTACTACAAAACAAGATTTTGGTTGCACATATGTTAACAAAAATATTTTGTTGGTAACTCAAACCTTTTATTTATAGTGTAAGTCAATAATAATAACAATAAATATTTAGATTCACAATATGTTATGTATAATATTATGAGGCAAAATTTCTGAAGTGATCCACTAGCAAAATTTGAACAGTGGGTTTTTTGAAAAATCATAACTATTGTATTAAAAGATGAAAAAAATTTTGACCTGATGAATGTTTGGGAAAGGTTTTTCCTGCTCTTTCGAATGATGCAAGAAAAAAAAATTTTAAATTCAAAATTTACCCTTGTTTTTGAAAATCAAAAATATTTTTGAATTTTATTGGTAAAATACTCACCCATATAGTACAAAATATTATGCAAATTGCAGCTCGATCTAAGAAAATTTTTCTTTGAATTGGTTCACTACAGAAATTTTGCCTTATATATATTAAAATATATCGATGTTATTAAATTTGTATTAATTTGTTAGTCGACATTTGGCAATGATATGATATAAGTGTTTTTGACATTTATTTTTTGGTAATTCTAATTTTTAATTACATTTTACTTTATTTATATTTTTAATTGTTTTTATGTAGTGTTAACATTTTATCAGATGTATAACTTTTTAAACATTTTATTTATATAAAGAATTGGAAATGTTTATGATAAAATTTAAAATAAATTTCAGTTTTCTGAAGATGGAAGATGGTTCTGAAGAGGGTTTAAAAGAATTTGTTTTTAATTTTAATTTTTTTTTTTTCTGACATGACTTGGAGTGATTAATAATATATTCTTATTTTTTTAATTATAAATCACGATGCGCCTGAAATGGATTTAAATGATAATTGCTTGCACTCTAAAATTTCTTGTAGATTTTGAATTTTTAAGGTTTCCAAAGTAATTTTAAACAAAAAAGAAAATAATCGCCTGAGCCCTTTTTGAGAAAAATAAATTTTTATATTTTCTCATTAATAACACAGCCCCATAAAAATAAAAGTATTTGCTCCATCACGTCAGGATTTTTTTCTAACCTCAAAAATATGTCATAGTAGATTTCATGTAACATACAAATTTTTTAAAAATTGGTTCGATTCACTTAAAACTCGTTTCTTAGGGGTTGCTGATTACAAATATGAAATCAAATTTAAAAAATTCAAAATGGCAGATCAAATATGGCTGACGAATTTTTAAAATTTGACTTCATATGCGTAATTAGTGATCCCAAAAACCCACAAGGAACGAGTTTTAAGTGAATCCAACCAATTTTTAAAAAATTTGAAATCAGACATATTTTTTGAGGTTAGAAAAAAATCCTGACGTGATGGAGCAAATATGACCCAAGATTCGTGTTTCAGCACAGAAAATTAAAAGGCATTAAAATAGGCTGCAACGGTCACTATTTTAATCCATTTTGATATTAAAATAAGCAAAATTGGATTAAAATAATAAGCGTTGCATCTTATTTTAATACCTTATAATTTTCTGTGAGCGCACCAAAAGACATGGGGGTAGGTTACTCGAGTCATCCGCACATGATACTTTTATTTTTTTGGGACTGTGTTATCAATCAAAAAAATATAAAAATTTATTTTTCTCGAAAAGGGCTCGGTCGATTATTTTCTTTTTTGTTTAAAAATACTCTGGGAACTTCAAAGATACAAAATCGACAAGTAATTTTAGAGTGCAAGGAATTTTTGATTTAAATATCCATTTCAGGCGCACCGTGAAATATTTAAATTCTTCTTATTGAATTCGATTCATGTAAATTATTTTTGATTTCGATAATTATATATAAATATATCTTGATAATATAGGACAATAATTATAATGATAAAATTTCTTGATTCGAACAAGACAATAATAAAATATAAAAATATTCCGACTTATTTAAACACTTGTGAAATGACTGTGTTCCCAATTCAATATAGCACTCTCTATCGTGGCAAGTAAGCTCTGATGGCCAAAAGATGATCGGTCACATGATTCTACTGAAGTCGTCAGGTGCCGGGAGTAGTAGTAGTAGTATATTGGGTCTTAAAGTGGTAGGAGGAAAACTCTTGGAAGATGGATCTATGGGCGCCTTGATTGAAAAAGTGAAGAAAGGAAGCACTGCCGACGTCGAGGGCCAACTTAGACCTGGTAAGAAGAAAGAGAGAGATCATCAACGCTAAAAAATTCTCAGCAGGTTCAAATGACGAGTTTTCCACAAATATTTTCAAACCTATATATATTATAACTATAATAATAATAATAATCAACAATACAATCTAATTTAAGGACAAAAAATGAAACATAAAAATTACCCCTCCCCAAAGAAAATAAAGGATTTGACGAGAGAAACAGATAGAGAGAGAGAGAGAAAAAAAAAACGCAAAAGACTCGTTTGGGACCTGAGAATTGCGACAAGTCCGTCGATCGCTGATTGGGTGCCCTGTTTTTAGGTGACGAAGTAATCGAGTGGAATGGAAGGTGCCTCCAGGGCAAGAGTTTTCAGGAGGTTTACGATATTATAGCCGCGTCAAGGCAGGAACCTCAGGTAGAACTTGTAGTCTCGAGGAACTTGCTTTCGTCAACAACTTTACCCGGGAGGTCAACGACTGCATCAACGACCACCCCTGTTGCCTCCAGGCGTGCTGTTGCTCAGTCACAGTGGAGACAGAAACACGAATTCACAAGCGGTACACAACAACTTCATCACAAAGGTAAATATATAAATTTTTTTTTTTTTTTTTTTCAATAACATTCATTTTGCTATGATTTTTTTTTAATTTGCGCTTCGATTTCTCGCTCAAGGCTTTTTTTTAATCACATATATATTTCTCATTTTTCAATCAACATAAGGGAAAAATTTCAATTTCATGAAAGTATCACTGTATCAGTTGTCACAATTTCTGTAATATAGAATACAAAATAAATTCTGAATAGAAAACTTTGTATTCTTGAATTACAAATATCATCTTCCAACAGATGATTAGGATACAATTGGCGCTTATTATTTTTTTTTTTAAGGATCTTAAATGATTACAAACTGAGATGACAATTGGTACTGTATCATTTTTTTCATATCGAATGAAAAGAAATATTTTACATAGCTATATTGTCATAGATTATATGATGTTTCGAATTCCAGGTCTTAAGAAATATATTCTTTGGGGTAGGCTTACAATTTCTAAAAAAATTATTTTTCTCTAGTTTTATACTGAATGTTCCTTTTTTCAATCCTTAAATGTTTTAGAATTATATTTATAATACTAAACATAAATACATATACGCTTAGTAAATTGTTGTTGTGAAATACTGGTAGATGGTAGAAATAAGTAGTGCTGATGCACCCCTTGCTATAAACACCCAACCTCTCTACTACTAATTTTATGGGAGCAACAACTTGTGTTATAATATATGTATATATATATTTATATACTTTGTGTATTTCGGAATATCTAGTTTGCGAAAATCCTAAAAAAAACCTCTTTCTGTCCGCCTTTAATTTTTATGCTCCTCTTTTTCTTGTATAAAAAAAATTATGTAACTCTTATAACAAAAATCCAACAGTTTTGTTTTTGAAAGTAAAATAAATACGCAGCGTCTATAGTGTTTAGACTCTAATAATGACTATATCTTGAGCCTAAACACATTTTCTGATTTTTTTTTTCAAGTTTAAAGATGAATGACATCATCACAGTTTTATCTGTAAAAAAAACTGTGTTTTGCGGAAAATTATGATAGAGTGAAATATGCTGTTAGATAAGTATCATTTGCTGCTACTGGATTTCGACGGCATTAGATTTATTGCGAAGCTTGGCTGCCACTCCGTTACCTATATATATATATATAAAAAAGTCATTTTGAAGGCGGAAATAGCTTTAGCATCGAAGCTGTACTGCATGCTTCTGATAGTAAATGGCTAAAGGCGTTAGAGACTGTAATTTATTTAAATGCAAATTTGTTTTATGAAATTTAGCAGAAAATTTGATCAACGAAGAAAGGGATTTAATCACAATATTTACACTTCTTGAGAAACTAAATAAGTGTTGTAAAAAAATAACTAAATAACAAATACTATTTTTATAGATGAAAAACAAATAATACTATTTTTAACTAAACTATATTCACGTTACTTTAAATATAATATAAAAGTAATTATCTTTTACAAAAATCTAATTTTGTAGAATTTTTTTTTTTCTTAGTCAATTACAAAGAAAAAGAAATCTTATCTTCAGATTTCAACTTTAATTTATGGAAACTCTCTCAATCTGAATTAGTAAAAAGTAGGCGACTAATTCACATGATTAAGAATTTTTTTTTTTTTTTTTTTTTTTTTTTTTTTTTTTTTTTTTTTTTTTTTGTAGAATTTTAGTATAAGAAAATTAAAACTAAAAAATATGGTTGTAATATTTTATTAAAAATTAGTGAAATCTCTTACTAATTAGTAAGAATATTTACTTGTTTAGTTAATTATTTGTGATCGATACTCTCAAAATTTTTATTAGTAAAAATTTGAATTATAATTTGTATTACTCTCTAAATTTGAATTATAGTGAGAATTCACTCACTAATTCCACTTACTAGAAATTTACACTAATTTTTAGTAAAATATTAGGTACTATTTTAATTAGTAATATTTTTTATATTTAAATTTTACTGGAGAATGACTAAAAATTAGTAGAAATTTTTCATTAATTTTTAGTCACTTTTTAGTAAAACTTTAGTCAAAAAGTTAAAAACCACTAACTCAAATAGTAAAATTTTACTAAAAATTAGTAAAAATTCTTACTAATGTGAATTAAAAAACTAACTTTTTACTAATTCAAATTTAGAGAGAATCTGTTTTACTAAAACTGAAATTGGTAGGAATTTAATTTAATCCGTGAAAAAAATGTCTTACTAATTGATCAGTCAAATTTAACAAATCTATCAATAAATTATCAAATAAATTAGTTCAAATCACGTTGAAAATTCTTCCTTGAACATTAGAGAATGAGAAAATAAGGTCGATTGCATGAAAAAAAATTTTTTGATCAATTTAAACCAGGTTTTTCAAAAAAAAAATGCAAAGTACCCGGTTTTGCCCCGATGGTGGGGCAAAACCGGGTACTATCAAGAAAATATATAAATCATGGAATATTCTTTAACTTTTCGTTCAATTATTATTATATATCATTTACATATTATAGAAAATAATTAATATTAAATAAATTTAATCTAAATATATTATATTAATAATGAATAACAGCAGTTAAATCTTTTAAAACGAAATTTTTCATATTTTTATTAATTTTTTATCGTTTATTTATCAATATGGTAAATAAATGATATATCGAAAGTTAAACATCGATTTCGAAACATACATGTCGATTATTTTGAGATAAAATTTAAATATGTACAGTGTAATTTCCTTTAAATATATCCGATTTCGCCCCACCGTTTGGTACCCGGTTTTGCCCCGCACTGCATTTTTTAACAAAATGTAAAATTCTCAGCTTATTGTTAATAATTTAACAATTACTTTTAATGAAAATTACTCGTAAATAAATGCTGAAAAAGATGTTATACTTACCGAAACGAATATATCGACGCAAAAAGTTTTATAAGTGATTTACTTTCGATAAAAAATGGATTTTCTTTTGATCTAAAATTTTAAAGTTGCATAAAATATATAATAAATAAATTTTTATATAGTGGTTATATATAATTAAAGTGATGTTAGTTGTAATATAAAAGATGTATGTAATGGGTGACACAAATGGAAATACCTATCATGGAAAACTGGGGGAACCCGGTTTTGACCCACTCTCCCCTAAAGCAATCGCTCATTGTTTTATTTTTACAATATTAAATTAGTTTTGTTTTTAAATACGCTCTTTACTAATTTTTGAAATATAAAAATCATTACCATGAAATAAATAATTATTGAAAAAATTTTTTTTTCATAATTTACAGATAAATTTTAATTTGTTATTAACAATTATTTGTTGATAATTTAAAACAATTTTTTGCATTTATCTATTTTACGAATTACAATCATAATTCAAAATTAAATTTGTCTAATTTTGCTTCCTCGTGGAGGAAGCTTTGTAGTCCTTTCGTTTATAAAAATTTTCAAAGTGGCAGAAACAAATTTTTTTCTATATAGAAACATGTTATATGAGAATTGTCCTGATGGATGTGTGTGTGGATCCCTTTTTTAAATAAAAAAACTTTAAGGTTATATATAATAAAATCGTATTCCTTACGTCAAGACAAATCGATTGGTATATATAAAGTGTAGTTTCAATTTAAATTTAAAGAATTAATGAAAGTTAATTTAAAGAATTAATGAAATCAAAAATTCACATTTTGGCAATAAAATTTTGTGATTTTTTAAATTGAGGTTTATATATGAAATAATTGAGGAGTAAATTTTCAAAATCTGATAAATCCATTTTTCAAAAAAATGGAGATAGACATAAATTTAATATTTTAAGGACCTCACAAATCTTTCTGTCGCTGTTAAATTTAAGAAAAAAAATTTGTTAACAACGAATTTTCAATTAAAAAACATTTGGACATAACCAAGATGAGTTATAATTTTTATGTTTTTTATTAGAAAAAATTACCAATACCTGTAAATCATTAAATTATGATAAAGTTTAATTAAAAACAGAACGTCTTGATTATAAAAACATTGTTATAGAATTAAACTATTACAAATTTTATATTTTAAAAGTAAATGTAGCGGTTATGTGAGAAAAGTCATTTGTTTCAATTTCTCGAAATAAGAAAATATGGATTTATCAGGTTTTGAAAATTTGCTCCTCAATTGTATTCCTTGCATGAAAACAAATCGATTGGTATATATAAAGTATACATTTGAGGTAAATTTAATAAATTAATGAAAGTTAAAAAAAAATTACAATTTTATCTGAAAATTTTTGTATTTATTTAAATTCAAGTTTAAATATAAAATAATTGTGTTTTCATTATTTTTTTTAGAAATTTCAGCTAAAATGTGAATTTTTGATTTTTTAACTTCCATTAATTCTTTAAATTTTACTCAAATGTTTATATTATTATATTATTTTTGTATATTTATTTCAATATTAATGCTTTCTCCACGAGGAAGCAAATATTTTTGCTGATCGTAAAGTGGAAGCAAAATGTTCATGTAGTGAACATCTGAATTTACAACTTGTTTTCTATTCTTTCTTTTCTTTGTAATATTGTAAATTTTTTAGCTAAATGTTTTGCTAAAATTATTTACAATTGTTTTTATAATTATTTTTACACTCATGGATGTCTTTGATTTGCATTTATTTTAGATAAAAAAAATTTGTTCTGAAACAGATATTTCTTTTCTCGTGAGTGTAGATTAATAAATTTTATTTAACGTAATAAAAGATGTAATTTTAATTTTTACTTAATAAAACATAATTTTGATTGCTTAAAATTTTAATAATTGGATTATTATAAATAATTATTATTGAAATTTCATTAAATTAAAAGTATAGGAAATTCAATATCTCGTTATTATACTTCATCCCCAGAAGTATACAGTGATATTTCGTGTAATTTTAATATTTAATTAGCTTGACATATAATCAATATGTCAATAATTTGAACATACTACGTATTTTCTAAGGGAAAAAGGTTCTCACCATTCTTTTTCAAAAAAAGAAAAAAAAAAAAGTTATATAATTATGTTCGATTTTCAAAATTTTCAATTGGTATTCTTAGAAAAAAAATTTTTAACTTAAATTTTTACTTGATTTTAATGCAATAAAGTGTAAGTTTGCGATATTCTCTCTTGAGAAACCAGAGGAACAAGTGATTGATGAAACTATAATAATAGCATATTGATTTTGAAGATACTTATACGGACAATTCCATTTTACTGCGGATCTTTTTATAGTAACCTCGGTAATAATTTAATTATAAATGTATTGAAAAGGACTTTATCAGCAATATATTCACTTTTACAAGAAGTCTTTTTATTCCCTATATAAAGAGATCCACATGAATATTATGTATTGTAATGATAATATTAAATATAATATTTCAAAAATATCCAAATAATTATCACTAATGTAAATAAACCATAATAGAGAGGAAAACGTCCTTTCTTTATTTTTATCCTGTGGTTTGTTTCGTTTTTTTGTATATATTTTGTAATTTCAGTGCTTTTACTGATTGTAAGTAAAAAAAAAAAAAGAATCATCTTATTATTCTCGAATAAAATAAATTTTTTGCGATCTTTACAGAGCTTTATGACACGAGGCGTGAGAAACCTTCGGTTTTGGTAACGTCACCGGGCTCGCCGGATGTTCACACACAAGGAAGATCGAGACACATACGACAAACGGGAAACGTTAATTTTGGAGGACGCATCCAGGTGAAATTGAGTTTTGATCCTAGTGCTCTTCAATTGATTGTCACCTTAGTGTGCGCGACTGGTCTCCCTCCAAGAAGCAATGGCCAAGCCAGAAGTCCATATGCCAAAATATTTTTACTTCCTGATAGAAGGTGAGATATTTTTTATTTCAAAAGATTTTAATATTGAGCATTACACGTGAGATTTTCACCTCCATTAAGTTGGCATCGAAATTTATTTTTCACCTGACCAAAAATATCAAATCATTTTTAAAAAGATTTTGGGTCCACATAATACTTTGAAAAATAATTTCTCAAGGTATTATTTGAATTGAAAATCTTTAAAAAAAATAATTTAACACTTTTGGTCCTGCGTGAAAAACAATTTTTGGCGTTGAGAGTCGACGCCAACTTCATGAAGGTAGATTTTCATTCACAATTTTTTTTTTACTGAAACATTTTTTTCAAAATTTTTAAGAAAAAAAAAAAAAATATTCGATTTTTTGATTTGATAAAAATTATGAAAGTTAAGATTTTTTCTAAATTTAACGTTATCAGGAATGGTGAACCCTTTTTTTCTGTTATATTAAGAGATAAGAAATAATATTATTATATGAAATTTGTTTGATTGTTCTTAAATATTTTCTTTTTGTATTATTTTCATAAATACATAATGTAAATCTTGGCATCTAGCTTAAAAATTGTAAATAGTATTTTAATGGACAAAAACACCAGTATCGCATAAACATAGACTAAATTCAAAAAAAAATTTCAAAAATCGTTCACTTCCGTTTTGTGAAAAGTCATACAGTTTAGGCTTGATTTCAATTTTTTAACTATTTCCGCTGTAATTACGTTATTTATTTTTTCTGTTAGTAGGTCAGAGAAAAACGCATTTTAAAAGTACTCTGCTTCTGACGACGTGAAATTTTTAAAAATCATAACTTTCATAATTTTTATTAAATAAAGAAATAAAAAAAATACATCTTTAAATTGTGAATTAGTGAAAATTCGTTCACTAATTCAAATTTATAGAAATTTTCTTTACTTTAAATATGTGAACGAATTCTCACTTATTCAAATTTAGAGAATATTTTCTTATTTTTCACAAAGATTTCGAACAAAAATATCTAAGTCAAAAAAAAAAATTTCAATTTCACATGGAATTACGCACATAGTACATTTAAAGAAGTAAATTGAATAAGAGAAAAAATGCCAATTTACAAAGATGGGAAATTTTCAAAATAACAAATTTTGAATATTTTTCTCAAAAAATTTGATATATTTTTTTTGATAAAAAACAAAGTATAACGACAATTGAATTAATACATCAATTTTTACAAAAAAAATTGCAATCTTATTTTAAGATATTTTTGAAATTAAATTTAAAAATTGAAATTTACTTTGTTGATATGCCCAAATTAATTTATAAATTCAAGGCTAATTTGAATTTTAAGATTTTCTTTTATTACTGTGAATTCACTATTTATATTTACGAAACATAAACAGATTGTAAAATAAATATCTCGTGAAAATTTCTATCAACTTAAAATAAATGTCTCACATTTTCACTAACGTAAATTTATGGATAAAAGAATTTGATTATTATTTTTGATAAAATTATATTTTGGAAAATTGAAGAAATCGCCTTGAAGAAAATGGTTTGCAATTTCAATTTTGACGCACCGCAAGACAAATGATTTAACATAGAAATTTTTAACCAGCCAAAAAATCCATGTTCAGTTGTGGTGAATTTGGCAACTCTGCCAATTTTCAGAGTTGACCTAGTAGTAAAATGCTTGCAAACTTTCGTTGTTTCTTCAACTTGAAATAAATTGTCAAGTTTTTCATTATCATTATATTTCTTAAAATTGTTGGTATCAAAAACTATTTTAACAAAATTGTTTAAATTGCTAAAATGAAGTATATTATAATAATGTATAAATTATATAGAATTTCATTTTAAATATGTGAATTATAGGTTTTATTATTATTTAAGTATTATTAAATAAATTTTTGAATTGTAAATGGAATAATTTTATCTAAAAGAAAAATTGTTGTATTTTTACAGTGAAAAGTCCAAAAAGCGAACGAAACCCTTGGCAAATACAAATGACCCAAGGTGGGACCAAACTTTCGTTTATAATGGAATCAGATGGTCGGAGTTAAGACAGCGTGCTCTAGAAATTACAGTTTGGGATTATGGTAGATACGGTGCAAATGATTTCATTGGAGAAGCAGTTATAGGATTAGCTTCTTCTTCTCTCACCGATGAGTTGGAGTGGCATTATTTGACTGCACATGAAGAACATCGACACGCAAGGTATCTTTCATTATATCCTCATTTACTCTTGCAATAGAACCTCATTGAATTTTTTTTTCTTTTATTTTCAATTATAAATTATATTTCTCGTATGAGAAAAAATAAATTTATTTAATTTTAATATAATTTTTAATTTATATACCGCATATATAAAGTTGCATACAATTAAAAAAAAATTCATTAAAATAAAATAAAAAAATAATTATTATGAAAAATTTATTACCTTTTCTATAATATGTATTTTTTCCCCAAAAAGAAATGAAATGTTAATTTTTTCAATTGTTTTTCAGTCATTATCAAGACTTTGTCGACGATGTGACGACGCCAGGCGATTGCCATCTTAGTCCACCGTTAACAACCTCAAGACTTAGTGATTCAGATACTTCCGAGTGCGATATCACGGACTGCGATGTTTCTAGGGAACAAAGAAGAACGGCTGACGGTGCCAGTATAAGTAGTATCGGCAGCTCTTCTAGGTAAGAGGACTTTTATATAAATCTCATTAACCTTCCTTGATTCTCGTTAAAAGTCTTATATATATATATATATGCAAAAAAAAATCAATTCAGGAATCGCAACATTGAATTTTAAAATGCATGATTTATTCTTGAAGCATATTTTTCATACCCTTGTTCACGGAGATACAAATTTTTTTAAATTGCAATCATCATGAATACGAAATATTATTTGCATTTTTTCATAAAAAAAATTACATTTTTTAATTTTTTTAAAATTAATCACAATTTATAAATTTTTATAAAAATTAGTTTCAAAAAGAATTTATTTTTTTTATTTTGTAAAAATAAATAAAAATTTTCATTATCTTTAAGATGTAATTGAAAAAAAAAAAAAAAAAATTTCCGTGATTTATATAAGAAACGAAAACGTTTACTTGTGCTGTGAAACATTAGATAACATGTTCGATTCACGAGAATAGGGTGACCAATCTGATATCTGTTCTATCTTCGCTTTAAAACGTTTTTACTGGGAACGTTACTGACGTCTTAAGTGTCGACGAAACGGTTATTCGCCTGTAACATCTTCCTGTAAACGTAATTGCCAATAACACGAGGTCATAGTACTTTGCGATTACTTGAAAATACTGTTTCTCGAATATTTTCTTATCGCAAAACTAAAGAGAAGACTTTATATCAGCGTCACCAGTATCCATATTATATGTGGAGGCAAAAAAAAAAATTTTTCACTAGGAAAAAAATTATTTTTTTTTTTTTGAATTTTTTTATACTTTTAGATATATTGTGTCGAAGTTTCGGATAGAAATCTCTACTCGATTTTACAAATTAGAACATTAGAAGTGAATTCAAAAATTCGTCACATTGAAAAATAAGTCTTGTTGGAATAATTAGAATTCTGATGATTTTAAGTAGAATTCTAGCTAATTTATTCAAAATTCTGATTAGCTTAACTAGAATTCAATGTTAAATATAGCCAAACCAGAATTTCTTTTCAGTGTGGTGAAAAAGAAAATGAAATGCATGAATATTCCTTATACATGATAAGTTCAAATTTGATATGTCCGAATTTCTATTTAATCGATTTTCATAAAATATAATTACTATTACGACAAATTTTCACAACGTAGGATTTTTATTAAAATGTAATTTTATTTAATATAATTTTTAATTAACGGAACATTTTTTATTTGTCTGAACAAACATCTAACAGAAAAATTTTGTTAAATGAGAATTCTATTTTATAAAAATTAATTAAAATAGAAATTCTCTTAGATAAAAGTTGATTTATTTTCTCGATTTTTTGGAAGGATAGAAATTGGAAATAAAAAGTAATAAAGTATCCACAAAATGTACTAATACTTTTTAAATTTATTTTTACTTTTACGTTAAATAGAATTTGTTAAAAAATATTTCATTTTCATATTTATTTTCTACTCTCTAAATCTGAATTAGTAAAAATGTTTACTAATTTGAATTAGTGACTCACTTTTTTCTTCTGAATTAGTAAAAATGTTTACTAATTTGAATTAGTGACTCACTTTTTTCTTCTGAATTAGTAAAATTTTACTAATTATGAGTATCTTTTACTAACAATTAGTAAAATTTAACTAATTCTAAAACAAAAAGTGAGTCACTAATTTAAATTAGTAAACATTTTTACTAATTCAGATTTAGAGATGAACTAAAATGTATCTGAGGAGGTTGACAAAATCGGTCAAAGAAACGTTTTATAATGTAAAAATATGGAAAAAAGGGAGACTTTTTATTTTCAATTTCTATTATTCCAAAAAAAATTGAGAAAATAATTTAACTATAATCAATTAAATTATGAAAGACAAAAATTTATCTTCAAGAGAATTGTATTCTCTAAATTTGAATTAGTGAAAAATGAGCTATTAATTCACATTAGTAGGAATTTTTACTAATTTTTAGTAAAATATTACTATTTAATTTAGTAGTTTAAAATTTTTTTACTAAAGTTTTAGTAAAAACTAAAAAGTGACTAAAAATTAGTGACAATTCTTACTAATTTAAATTAGTAAGAATTTTCACTAATTCAGATTTAGAGAGTACCTAATTAAAATTCATTGAGATATAAATTCTCTTAAAGAAGAATTCTGCTAATTAAAAATTAGTTTTAAAAAAATTTTATTTAACGAAAATTCTATCCACTAAAAATTGTGTAAAATCTTAATTCATTCCATTAACATTATTCCAAATAAAAAATTAGTTACAGTTGAAATTATGTCTAAGGAAAATTCGTTAAGAAATTATTTATGTCCAACTGGAATTCTGCTTAATAAGTATTCCGTTAAATGAGAATTCTACTAAATGAAAATTTGTTATAATTTAATTAAATGAAAAATTCGTCTCGAATGTAAATCTGTTAAAAAATTAAATGGGAATTTTATTTAAAAATAAATTCAAATAAAAATTCCGCTAAATAAGAATATTGTGAAAATTCTATGAAATCAGGATTTTGTCAAAAGAAAGTTTGTCATAATTGAAATTCTATTAATGGAAAATTCGATTAGAAAATAATTCTGTTAAATGAAAGTGGATGGATGATAGTATTTTCGTTTATTTGGAATTCTACTTGATAAGAATTCGTTTCTAATAAAAAGTTCTGTTAAAATCAGAATACTGCTTGATGAAAAGTGTATTTTAAAGGAAATTTTATTTAATGCAAATTCAGTTAATTAAAAATTCTCTCAACTCCATACTATTCCGATATAAATAAAAAATTGGAAAGAAAAAATCGTCGGTATGAAAATTCGGTTCAAGATAAAATTTTTAAAAATAAATTTCGCTTAAAAGTATAAACTTAATCACATGATTGAAAACGAAATTCAAATTCAAGATATTTTTTTCTTTTTCATAAATAAATTACAAGGAAACTAGAATCAATGTGAAATGAAATTACAGAATAGAAATTATAATGTTGCAGATTTCGTTTCAGTTTGTTCTACTGGATGGGATTAAATAAAAGTTTTGTATTTCCTATAAATATGTGTTTGTGAGAATGAGAGTTAACATCTGCAATCTAATTGTTGAAGCGGTATTTTTCAAGTTATGTATATATATATATATATATATATATATATATATATATATATATTGTTGATGGAAGTTTTTAGTTAGTACTTTTCATTGACTGCAGGAAAATTAGCGTGCAATAACTCTTCTTGTCTAGCGCACATTGCTGTCATGTACTGACGTAAGCTTAGTTTGTGATAGTATCACTGAAAATTCAAAGAAAAAAAAAGAGAGGACACACATTCAGAGAAAGATAGAGAAAAAGAGAAAGCAAGTTATAAAACTGGGCAACAAGCCAATTGACATGCCAGTTGGCCTGCAACCACCGCTGACTGCGGATCCACCTCTATACTATCTCGCATCAAAATTAACATTCCGAAGATGAGGTTTGTTCGTTATTTGTGAGTGCTTGCATTTCTCATGAATTTTCCTCTAAATGCGCTTCTAGGGGTAGCGAAAGAAGCATTCGCGAACAATATATATATATATATATATATATAGAAGGCTCGATTTACCGCCGAGTGTCTAGCATGAAATTCTCACTCCTTTTCAGCAGCACGTAGTTAATTCCCTAGAGATAAATTTGCGAAAGATCAATCCTTCGATGTTCCGTTTTTACTTCGCGTTCGAAATGCTATCGTTCTTGTTCGTTCTTTCAATTTTTTTTCTACCAAGTCTCTTTTCTTTATCTTACACTTTTCTTTCCGTTTCCTCATTATTTCTTTCATTTTCCTATTTCTGTCGCTGTCTTTTACAGTTCTCGTTTCAGATGTCGAGAGTGCCCTTAATTGCTTTGTCTCTCCTTATTCAGTATTCAGAGAATGCAATCGAACTCTGTAGATTTTTCACTGGGGTATCTATTCACAGATCATATGATTTCTCTCTCTCTCTCTCTTTCTCTTTTAGAACATTTTTCTTGTTTTCTCAAGTAATCGATTTTTCTTAATGAACACTTTAACTCCAAGATTTTATTATAACAAACAATTTCTTTTGTTATATGGAAATAAAGCGAACTTTTTCTGCATTATCGGTTTAGATTTATCAGATTTACTATATAAATTTGGACTTATATTATTATAAATGTAAATCGTATCATTGAAAAGTCTCGAGTTTCTGAAAATTAATGAATTATGAATTAAATTTAATATCAATTGTAACAACATGTATTGATAATAATTAATATTGAAAGCAGGGTGATTTAATGAGAAATATAATACTGGGAATGATTTATTTGAAAATTGAAATTTGTTTCGAATACTTGTAATGTGAAGTTAATTATTGAAACCAATACAGGGCATTTTGTTGATCGATCGTTTTAACTTGAATGACGAATGTTCTGAAAGAGAGCACTGACCTAAGAGTAAACAGCACTGTGCAAGTTGAATTATAGCTGGTGGCTGGTAATTAGATTCTAAGTGCCGTTCTCATCGATATAGATGGTGTGGTGCATTGGCCCGAGTTGGCGCTGGTTTCATGTGAGAAATCCATGCTCGCAGTTCTTCGTTTGAATTCATAGATCGGGAGGTGTGTCAAGGGTCTATCGAACTTACAAATGATGTGCATGAGGTTAAAATTCAGTAATGATTCAACTTCTGATTTCAATTTTTCGCAGACCATCATATACGCGAGGTCACAAGTTCAACGTTGCAATTATTGATCTCATTTTAAATACAATTTTCATTCTTTTTATTTCAGTCGAATTAAAAGTTAATGAATATATTTTGCATTTATATTATTATATTCTTTTTATGTATAGATATATATACTGTTTTGTTTCTAACAACAAAAAATATATCAAATACTTAAGAATGTGTTTAAAATAAATCAATATAATATAGTGGTAAAACTACTATCAAAAATTAATAAATTGAACGAACTTACCTAAAGTGAAGTTCAATTGTAATTGTATGAGCTGCCTCGTCCGAAAAGATCAAATTAGGTAGTTGCGTTAGTAACCGTTTGTTCTGCCACAGTATTTCAAATTATAAAGTTTTTTAGCGCTACTCTTAGGTGTCGCTCCTATCTCTTCCGGTTCCTGTCATTACATTTTAAAGTCTGGAGTAAATCACGTAATACATTTTTGGGCTTCGTCAGGAGTTAAGGGCCGGGAGGGTTTGATCTTTTCGGACGAGGCAGCTCATACAATTACAATTGAACTTCACTTTAGGTAAGTTCGTTCAATTTATTAATTGTATTTCGCTGCCTCGTCCTCAAGATCAAATTAGGTAGATATTCAGAGTTAGAAGTGATTTACGTCGTTCTGTTTTTGTAATGTGGTAAATATATTTACTTTCATTACAAGTACAAATTAGTTAATACCTATAGTTGTATTTTAATTGAACGAATGATGATGAGAAGAGTATATATATAAAAATATAAGAATGATAATAGTAAAATAGAAACAAAGTATTTTTTAATTTTTTCTCAAAATTGCCGCTGAAAAAGATGATTCTTTTGCAATTGGACGATTATAAAACCTTGCGAATACCGTGGATTTAGGTGTCCATCCAGCTGCTTTACGAATTGTTTCCAAATTGACTCCCTTGCGAGCTGCTGCTGAAGTCGCAGCATGTCTAGTGCTATGTGTAGAAAAAGTTTCCGTATCTATTCCGCTCTTACTTAGAATATTTTTTATCCACCTACTTAAACTTTGCGTGGTGGCTGCATGATGCGGTTTCTTGTAGGTCAGGAAAAGATTTTCTTCTCTAGACTTTGTCCTTAACTCTGATGTTCTGCGGATATATTCCCTGAGGGTTGTTGCTGCACAGAGTACTTCATTGCTCGAAAATGTTGGGATTTCTAATATTGGCTGGTACCTGTTGCGACCTGTGGTTTTTATTCTTGATGTAATTTTGATTTGGATAGGTTCGATTTCCATATTTATGTTTTGCAACTTTATGGATGCTAATGTTTGAACTCTTTGCGCGGATATTAGCGCTAATAGAGTTGCTAACTTTTCCGTTAAATTTTCTAATGATAGATTGTTGTTCCCTCCAAGCGATTCCAGGTAAGTTAAAACCACTTGAGGATCCCAGGTCTCCTCGTATTTTGACTTAGGTGGTTTTATTGACGAGACTCCTTTAAAGTACCTCGAGACTGAGCTGTCCTTCCCTAGCTCATTGCCCGTAAGGAGGGATACAGCTGCTCTATAAATATTTAGTGTGCTGTATGAGATATCTGAGTGGAAAATTTGTGTAAAGAAGTCTAATGCCGCTGATGTTGAACACTGATGGAAAGAGATGGTGTTTTCTTGAGTGTACTTCCACCAGAGTTTAATCGGCTTCTCATATTGTCTCAAGGTTCCTTCGGTGATTGAGGCTAACATTACATTGGCTGCTTCTTCGGATGCTCCTCTTTTCATGAACGCTTCCCTGATAAGCGTGCCACCACCAGGGTAAGCGTCTCGTGTAGAGGGTGTATTTTCCTGAAAGGACAGGTCAATAAATTAATATTAGGCTTAAGAAAGATTTGTTCTGAAGTCATTAATCGGATGAAGAGGGGATACCATGGCTGTGAGGGCCACATGGGTACCACGACTACTCCTTCAGCTTTGTCCTCTTGTATTTTTTGTAAAGTTTGCAAAACTAAACAAAAAGGAGGAAAAGCGTAAAAATAACGACCAGACCAGTTTATTGTAAAAGCGTCTATTGCTATTGAATCGGGATCGCGGTGCCAGGAGACGTATTCATTACATTTCGAATTTGCCCTTGAGGCAAATAGATCAATGTCAAATTTTCCGAATTTTTTCACAATGGTTTCGAAAGCTAGGTCTGCCAGTTCCCACTCGGTGTCATGTGGAAGTACTCTCGACTATTCATCTGCTTCCTTGTTTTCTTTTGATTCTATGTAGGAAGCGTGTATCCAAATCATACGATCTTCACACCATTTCCATATACTCCTAGTAATTTCTGTTAGTTTCGGGTATTGAATTCCCCCCATTCTATTGATATATGAGATGGCCGTTGTGTTATCTATCCTTAATAAAATTGAACAGTCTTTGGAATTTTTGGCATGACATTTTAAGCCGTAGAACGCTGCTTTCAGTTCAAGGTAATTTATGTGAGCATCTTTTTCTTCTTTGTCCCACCAACCGTGAGCTTTTTCACCATTGCAGAAACTACCCCAACCAGAAAGGGACGCGTCAGTAAAAATTACTTTTGTATAAGAGTTTGTTCTAATTGGATTAATCATAGTTTTCGCGTTTCTAATCCACCATTCAATGTCTTCAATCACTGTGTCTGATATATTCATTTTTGCATTAAAATCATTATTGGAATTTTTTAGTGCGAGAAACTTTTCGCGCTCTAATCTTTTTGTGTTAACCAGCCATACTGAATAGCGGGGCACGCCGCTACCAAGGTGCCTAAAAACCGTGCAAGCTCTCTTATTTTGCAAGATTTCTTTTTCGAAAATTTTTCAGCTAAGTTCCCTATGGACTTTCTTTTTTCTAGTGGGAGTTCAACTGAGAACGATACGCTATTTAATATAAATCCGAGATACTTGCAATTTTTTGAAGGTGTTAATTCACTTTTCTCTGAGTTAATTACGAATCCTAAGTTCTCTAGCAGATTTTTTGTTAAGTTTATATTGTTTTTACATTCGTCCTCTGTCCTGGAAATTATTAAAATATCGTCAAGGTACACTACTAGTACTACTCCATTTTCTCTAAGCTTTTTTACAACCGGTTTTAAAATTTTTGTAAATATATAGGGTGCGGTACAGAGACCGAATGGTAACGCGGAAAACTCATAGCACTTATTATCGAAGGTAAATCTTAAATATTTTCTATATTTTAATTGAATTGGCACGTGTAAATATCCATCTTTTAAATCGATAGATGCAAAATAACAATCTGGTCTAATTAATCGGAGGGCTGTTTTTATGTCTTCCATTTTAAAATGTGGCGGGTTCATAAACAAATTAAGACCTTTTAAGTTGAGTATAAACCTGTCATCTCCATTTTGTTTTTCCCTTAAAAAGAAGGGCGAAAGAAACTGACCTGGGCGAGGTTTACACATAACCACGGCACTTTTATTTTCTAATTTCTTTATAGCATTTGCGGTCCTTAGGTGATCTTGACATGAGAGTTGTGGACAGCAGGGGAGTTTCTTTTGAATTGGAGTTTTTGAAAAAGGTAATTTATACCCACTTACACATTTTAAAATAAACTGGTCTGACGTTAGTATTTTCCAATTATTGTAAAAATTAGCTAGGCGACCGCCTATCTTGCTTACCTTCAGTTCCTCGGTTGCGGGTTGCGAGTTGTTCGAGATGGATGCGGCCCTCCCCGTCTGTGGTTCGAGTAACTCTTCTTGGGAGGGCCCTTCCAGTTTAAATCACCAGTTCTGGGTGCGGTTTGTCGTGAGCGAGAGGGCTGGTGATATGGCTGATGATATGGCTTTCTTTTATCTGTTTTTGTTATTTTAGTCAGCTCTTTACCGACTTTCTCGACTTCCCTTGCAGCTTTAAATTGTTCAGGAAAGTTTTCTCCAAATAGAGAATTGTCAACCGGCGAATTTTCAGCAACAATTTTTAATTTTGAGTCTCTGCCAGAAGAGATGAAATTCCTTCTGGTTAGAGATATTTCATGGTGCAGGTCTGTTAAGAGTTTTCCTGAATCGCTGAGAAGAGTCAGTATTTCGCTTATCGAATGATTTTTCGAGTCTGATTTATTGTCTGACAGTTGAAAATTTAAAAGTTTACTTACGGCTGTACCTAAGGAACTTATAGCTGCTCCCAGCTGATTTTGTGAAGCTATCTGAAATTGGTCCTTTTTTACTCCTGTCTGACCAATAATATTCTTAATTTCTGCATTTAATGTAGGGGCTGCCATCATATTGCAATTTTCAGCCGGAGGATGTTTTTCGATCAATTCCTTACGAATTTCTTTTGATAGACCGATCTGCATAATTTTTTGCCACACTGTCGCTAATGTTTTGTTTATTGGTCCACTGAGCTTGACATTGGCGAAGGGGTCGCCCCCTAACTGAACTAAATCCGCTTCGTCCATATCCGTGACCTTCTTTACCGACTGTTGACTATCATTCTTTTCTTGTGAGGGCGCGCCATCTTTTTTACCTGTCGATTGCAGGTTATTCCGCTCTGGATCCTCCGGATCGTGTAAAGGAGAATGTGGTGAGTTTTCCGAGTCTCGGTAGCTATATTCCTCCTCATTCTCTGGCTGAGCGACATACCTTCTTATCCAATCTCTCGGGTTATGCATTCCGCTGTGACTGTGCTCTTCCAATGGACTGTCATGGCCGCGGGACATACCTCGTGGATTTTTTCTTGGTGTATACGAGTCTTCGGATGAGCCTCTTCGGGATCTCTCATTGCTCGGATTCTTTTTCTTTTCCGATCTATTGCGTGATCTACCTCTCGACCTAGAGTCGCGGATAGAACTACGCGATCGGGATCGATGTGATGTTCTGCTGTTCGATGAGCTGGAACTAGAATGGCTTGTTTCAGATGAAGAATTTCTTTTCTTACTTCTTTTTCCCTTCTTCTTAATTTCTTTCTTTAATTTTTTAATCTTTTGTAAGAGTTTATCTGTAGAATTTCCTTTTCTACCCATTTTTAAACTGATTTTTAACTGTTTTTTATACGCCACGATGTGGTTCAGAACGCACAGAAAAACGTAATGACAGGAACCGGAAGAGATAGGAGCGACACCTAAGAGTAGCGCTAAAAAACTTTATAATTTGAAATACTGTGGCAGAACAAACGGTTACTAACGCAACTACCTAATTTGATCTTGAGGACGAGGCAGCGAAATACAATTGCTATCCATATAATAAAAATTGAATTAAACTAAAATAGCTAAGGTAGCTAAATTTTTTTCTTCGTGTTGCAATTTTTGAGGGAGAATTTTTTTTAAAGTTCATAACTGCAATGAAAAAAAAATTATTTTATTCAAGCAAATATTTATTTGTATCAAATAATTATTATTTGAGTCAATTAAATGGTATTTGTTTCAAATATAGAAATTATTGCTTCAAATACAGTTTATTTAATTCAAATAAATTTTTTTTTTAGTGTCGAAATTCGATTTTCTTTTATCAATTTCTATTTATTGACATATTTGAAAAACTTGATTTTTTAAAACTGTTAAATGTAGTAAAAATTTCAGAACCCCTTGAAATGTAAAAAAATGAGAAATTTAAATTGAAATTTTGAACTTTTATAATTTAATCGAAAATAAAAATTGAAATTAAGTAACTTTTTTTTATTAATAATTATAAAATAATTTTAAAATTTAGTGAATTATAAAATAAAAAATTTAACTAAATGTTAATGGAAATTTCATTTTTTACTGGTAATATCTATTTCTAAAATATATAATGAAATATGTAAAATGCTTAAAATTGTAATAAAATGTTTGAAATATGAAAACAAAATTGATACAGAAATATATGAAATATATCATATGTTAGTACTTCCAATGAATAATATTGTTATTAATTATTTTCTCTTAACGGGTATTTCATATTTCTCCATCAATTTTGCCTTTATATTTCAAACATTCAATTTCGAATTTAATTTTACTTTTCATTATACCTATCAATATTTTATTACAAATTATAATAGAGACATAATTTAAATTAATATGTTAAATAATTTAATTACATTTTTCAGTTTATAAGTACAAAAATAAATTTTTTTAAATTTAACACTTTAATGAATAATTTTGCATCACTAGTGTTACATTCATGTTTAAATCATTTTCTTTAAGATTTACACATTTTAATTGTTTATTAAAAAAAAAAAAAAAAAACTGTAGATAAACGTACCTACTTTAGTTAATTATAAATTGCAACAATTTCTCTATTTCCTTCAACAATCACGAATGATATGACTGTTGGTGATAATTAATTTATATGTCAATATTGTTAATTGATTGATTTAAATAGTGAAGATTATAATTATCGCATATTGAATATTGCAATAGAAAAAAATTGATTTAAACAATTAAGGAATGATTGGATGTACAGTTAAAAGAAAAGTTAATCCAAATTTACTATTTTGTATTTTTAAAGTATTTTTAAAGTCAAAATTTTTTATTTTTTTTTTATTTAAAGATTCGAAAATATGGATAAAATTAACGAAATAAATGTCTTAAAAACAGAATAATACATATATTTATTACCTCGAGTGAGTTAAGTTATTTGCACGCGCAATCACGGTGACCATGGTGATTATATTTCTATACTATTATAATCCTCAACGACCTTAATCCGCATATCGTTTGTTATTAATGCAATGGTTATAGAAATGTGGCGAATAATTGAAACGTCCAAATGCTCAGCAAAACACAGAGCGAAATGATTCACTGTGCACATATTTAATAATGTTCAATATCATCTAATAGGATTATCTAAAAGGGTTTCGCGAATATAGTGATAAATCCATTCCGGCGAATGGAACGTCGTCGCGAACCACCCTATTCTATTTTCAAGTATCCGATAAGATAACCTTGATAAAAATTTTTGTTTCATCTGTGTTTTTTTTTCTTTTTATCTATTTTATTCTGTATTTTTTTAAATGCAGCTGGGTATAGAAAAATAATTGGCAAGATTCTCTTTTTTTATTATTAGTATATTTATATTTTAATGTCGTTTATATTAACTGCAAATAATATTTATATAAACATTATGATTATTATTTTTATTATTACTGTATTATTAGTTTTATTATATTATCATCATTGTTGTTGTTTAAAAAAATGTTTCAAAGTGATAAGAAATTGAAATTTTTATTTATTTTTAAATAAAATGTGAAAATTCATACAAAAAAAAAAAATAAATAAATAAAAAAAATAACTTGACATTTTATTTGAAATGCAAGAAAATAATTATTTCAAGTTACACAATTAAAGTATAAATAATTAATAATAATTTATTAAATTAAATAAATAATAGTAATAGTTTGTTAAATTAAGTAAATAAGTGTATTTTATTACGGTTCTTAATTTTCTTGTTTTATTTATTATTTTAGGTTTCATAATATGCCGTCAAATTATAAGCGGTACGGCTTATTTAATTGTTATCTATATATTTATTCACGATTCATCTAGCGTTTTGTCACTGCTAGATTTTAGAATCTATTCCTATATTTAGATCAATTCCTTGATATACTGAATGCAATTATTTTTAACGAGAATGTTGATTTTTTTTGCCAGTATTACAATATTTTAATATTAGAAATGAAACATTTATTTTACATTCATTCAGTACATGACTAAAAAGTAGGTTTAAAATAAACTAAAAAATAATAATAATAATTCTATAAATTAGGTTTTAATGAACGTCGTTTAGAAAATTGTTAACTGTTAATTGTTAGACTATTTTTTGTAGATTTCATTAAATCATTATTTTAGTTATTTCTCTTGCGAAAGTTTAGAATGAACATTCAATGTTGATTTATTCAAAATATAAATCAAATTTAAAGAGTAAAACTGATTGAATATGAATCAAAAACTTTCGAAAGGGGTATTTATTCAAAAAGAATATAATATATATATATGTTGTTTTTAGAGTCATTAGGAATTTTCTTATGTGTGATTCACATTATTCTAAATTAAAAAATTATAAACTGAAACAAAAGTAAAGTCCCAATAAATGAAGTGAGATTTTACAAAAGAACTTTATTTTAAGTGTTATTTTATTTTTAAAATAAAGCAATATATCATATATTAATATTTAAAATGAATATTTAAAATTTGAATTAGTGGAATTTTCTTTACTGATTTTTAGTTATATTTCAGTAAAAATTAAGTAAAAAAAAGTGTTACTAAATCAAATAGTAATATCCCAATCAAAAATTTACTAATAGCGCAGTACTGGCACCCAGTATTGGCGCCAAAGTTGGCGTAACTTTAGCATGATAACATTTTACCAGTATTGGCTACCAGAGTGTCTGAAATTTTTAGTAACCCAACACAAATTAAATATTAATTAAATTAGTCAACTAACTAATTAATATTTTATTATATAAAATCGAAAACACAAAGAATTTTCATTCTTTATTAAGTATAATATATATATTGCAAATTATTATTTTAAAAAATCAAAAAATAAATACAAAAATATGTTTATTATAAAACCAAAATTTTTATAATATATAAAAATAGTTCAGTAAAAATAAAAATGTTTATAAAATAATTATAATGTATATAATTATGCAATTAACTATTTAATTATTTTATTATTCACTTTAATTTATTAATTATTATGTCAAATATAAATAAATTAACATTGAATTCAATTCAATTTCCATAAAACAAAATTAGTTTACAAATTAACTCATCACAAATATAATGATTTAATAAATAATGAATACTAAATTCCTGAAATTAGGTAATTATTAAAAGAATTATCTAAATTATTTTTAAAATAACATTAAATTTTTGTTGATAATTCACTTTTGAAAAAAAACTAAAGAATAACATCCAGAAACAAATTACAATAATTTTATTGACCATTGAAATATATAAGTTTGTAGGTTTAACTATTTTTTATAATTTCTATTAAGAAAAGTTAATTATATATTTTATATTATTGATAATATAACATTTGTGCAATTTTACTTGCAATTGTATTTAATTTTTTAAATTAAATTTATATTATAAATTTTATTTTAAAAAATATTAATTTTTTTTAAACAAATTTATTTATTTTTAATTTGATCGTTTAAAATATTTTTTTGGTTTATTGCATATCTGAAAAGAAAAAGAAAATCTTGCAAAATGTTTTAGACTTGATCTCAGGAAACTTTTTGTTTAAATAATTTTACCCACAGAAAAGCAAAATAAAGTACATTTTAATTATGAAAAATAAAATCAAGTTAAAAAAATTTTGATGAACAAAATATTTAAACAAAAAGATTCATCGAATTCACTCTACAACTTTTTGTAAACTAGTATTAATCAAAAAGAAAATCTATTTGAGCCAGTACTGACTCAATATCAGCTCAGTACTGGTTTGCCAGTATTGGAAGGATGGTACTGCACCAGTATGGATATAATGAAAATATCAGTACTGGTTCAGTACAGACTGCCCAGCCTCGGCAGCCAATACTGAACCAGTACTGCGCCAGTAGTCAACTCTGGTATAATACTAAAAATTTTGGTTGGGATTTTACTAAAAATTAATGAACTACTAATTTGATTTACAGTGAAGTAATTCTCACTAATTTAAATTTAGAGAGAAGCAATATCGTATTTTAAAATAATGTGAATCATTTTATTTTACTTAATATCACAACAATCATTTCATTTAGTTTGTAAAAAACATTTTTCTTTTTCATCACTAATTAATAAACGCATGTTGTGAACAGCCACTATTCTAGTCCTCCACCTGAAAAGGAACTTTGTGTGGACGGTGAACATCGAAGTCGAAGGGATATGTCACCGCAGGGTCGTAAAAGAGCAGCGCTTATGAGCTCTAGAGACCATTCCGCTTCCATTTCCGGTTATCAACACTATCGTAAGGTACGATCCGATATTGAACCATTTATTTTTCTTATATATATATATATATATAGAGGTCTCAAAATATGAGCACTATATATCAACAAGATTTTACCTACAGAGAAAATATTTTCATCTGTTATATTCAATTTTTATTCTTCAGTTCCATTTTGAATCGCCTTTTAATAATTATATACAAATAACGCAACATATAATTGACAAAAAATAAGGAAAAAAATATCTAAAATTTATTTGTTCTACATTTAATTTATCTAATCTAAATTTATTTGTTGCTTATAACAAATAAATTGTTCTTTTAAAAAATTTTGCTTTTTCTATAATTATTATTGTGAACTTTTGTTGAGTATCATTAGTAATATTAAAATGTAAAATATATTAAAGATAAATATTTCATATTTAGGAATTGTAGTCTACTGGCAGATGTTTGCAACTTTCACTTATATAATATTTAAATTTATTGCGTAAAAAATTTTATGATGTACGTGATTTTGTTATCGCCCCTCGGATTAGAACCGACCGATTGTTAATTATATTGCCCACTTGAAATTACTCATTAAGGGAGGCAAAATATACCTCAGATATGTTCGAATTGTACCACCACCACCACTAAGAAAGTTTTTCTCCCACTCCTAAAGGGGAGACATTTTTTTGCCTACACAGGTTTACCCTGAATGCTCAATTTGCACATTATATGGGGTAGAAGCACAACTACCTTCGTCTAGGTAGCAGTAAAGAAATTTTGAAATGGAAAACCGAAGTAAATGTATGTGATTCACGAAAATAAATTTTCTTTATATTATTGTTCTATAATATAATAAAATGTATATCATTCTTTCTTTTTAACAGTTTTACAAAAAAATTATTCATTGATTAAAAAATGAATGTGCTCACAATTATTAATAACATACAAAACAATATACGTATATGTAAAGTTAGGGAGACATATTATACACGTATAAGCTTTTCAATTTGAATATATGCTTTTGATTAAAAATAAAATTTTGTACTAGCGATAAAACATGTTTGAATTAACGTGTGTGCAAAAAGTTCTTTTTTTAGTGACAACTCAAAAAAAAAAAAAAAAAAAAACGAAAATTTAATTTGTAGGATGATTCACATCGTGCCACATTAAGCCACAGGTCCCATAGCGCAGCGCCGATGGATTCTCCGAGTAGTCATTATCGGGGAAGGTCGCAAAGTCCCACAGGTCATCGTTCTCTTTCACCTCCTGATCATAGATCTGTTCCCTATTCACACGGATATATTCCAACTAGGTAATATCAAACTGCAACAAATTATTTTAATATTTTAAAACTGTTTTCAAAAAGAAAATTTCTTTTTACTTTTTCAATTATTTTTTTAAACTTTTATTCCTTCTTATTTAATTTTAACTGATACTATTTACTTTTTAATAACATTTGCGATTTTTTTTTATTAAATCTATATAATATTAAGAAATTATTCACTTGTTTCGTCTTTCAATATTTTTGAACATATAGTTCATAATCTTAATAATAAAATAGAATAAAATTTGAGATGAAGAAGCATGTCATATTTTTCAGATTTACATCCAGATCAGCCACAGCAACTCCAACTGGATCTCCGAAGAAACGTTATTTGCCTCAGATACCTCCAAATTTGCAAGCAGCTTTAAAGGATCGAGGAGTCGGAGATTTCAGTGATAGAGCCAGATTCATTAAACATCGCAGTAGACAAATGCACACATATCGAAATTCCAGTATGGGAAGTAAGTTTTCTTTTCATTTGATTCTTGTTCGATTTTTTTTTGTTAATTTCAAATTTTAATAATAATAAGGTTGCCACGCTTTTGCTACACTAAAATTGCAAGATTTCGAGGTAGCGTGGTAACATTGAATAATTTGTTTAATCGATTTAATATAATAAAATAATCTTTTTACTAGGTTGGGAGAGACAAATAACTGGTCTCTCTGATTCGGATCTTCCTTCAATAGGTTACGATCCACACTCATTGTCACACAGTCATCTTCATAGATTGCATAGATCACGAAGAGATCGCTTGAGTCCTGATAAAGATGTACTTGGTGATCTTGGCGATTCTGATATGGAGAGTATAGCCTCTGTCACGAGTAGTGCCTTCAGCACACAATCAGAGCGACCACGTGGTTCCAGAGGATTGATGTGAGTATAATTCATGTTCAATTTATTGCTTTTTTCAAATGTTACATCGAGTCAATTATTAATCACGTACGACTTCATTTTATACGACTCTCCTTAGGAGTACACGTCCCATTAAGAGAATAGACTACGGAAGTTGCATTTCGATACGTCTCGATATAATTATAATAATTTGCATGTTATCATGCAAATAAGGCGCACATTCTTCAAAAAAAACTAAGAAAAAAAGAAAAGTGTAACTAACTGCAGTCCATCCTCTGACGATAATCCCTGAATTAAATGGACATTGCCAAAAATGATATCGTCCCCTTAGGTTTTATCTTTTCTTTTCACCATCCTGCTTGCCTCTCAGATATATCTGTGTCTATTGTATAGGTGTCCCAATTTTTAGATCTAAGATACTTTTTTCTCTACAAGTATAGTTTGTATAATAGTTGCACATCCTTTGCACTGTGTCAATGTCCATTTAATAATCGATAGATAGTTACCCATTCTAACGAATCAGGGATCGATTTAAATAAGCGATGGTCGACAGAATCGGTCAGCGAACCATTTATTGTGAAAAAAAACACATTCAAATTTGATTTTTTCCCCCAATAAATGGTGATTTTGACAAAAAAAAAAATTAGAGTTTATCCATACCACACTGACGGTTTTGATCGACTAGATTGCAAAAAAAGTAAAAGAATGGGCTCTTTGAAATGTATTCCGAAGGAACGTTACTACTCTATTATGAAAAATTGTTTACAGACCGACAGTTAAAAACGTTTTAATACCCGGTGTCATATCCCCAGTACCCCCACCCCCTAGGCGCAATAGGCGCAAGCACAGACTTAGGGTACCCTGCAGCGAATGTCATTGCCCAAACAACAATCCCATCAAACCAAAAAACAACCCAAGCAAGCATCACCTTCCCTCGCACCCCCTTATACGGAGCAAATCCGCAGTTGTACGCTCGCTATATAGAAAAATACGTACACCCTTCACAAGATCGCAAACTGTCGATGAAAATATGTTGAGATATTACAGTCCAGCAACAAGCGAATACAGTGTTTGCGAAGGTCTCATACTTAAACCAGAAAGCCTTACTGGTAATGCAACGAAACGCATACCGGAAATTTACATCGAAGACTGCCTCCAGGTCAATTTTAACGATCGACTTGTTAATAAATTTCGCTCACGATATTTCCCTTCTTATGGTTATGATTTTGGTTCACATCGACGATCACGAAGTTGGCAAGATCGTTCCACAAGAAGTCGAAAAACAACAAGATATTTAAATTTTCTCGATAGTCTAAATAAAGGCTCAATTGATTTTGGTTACAGAAGATTTGATCATAGAAATAGACAACAAAGATCTTTTTTACTCTCTAGAGCTAAAAGTTTTGACAATGAAGTCTTGCAAAATTCAAGATTAATTGTTAATAATGACGATAGTCAAATAGAACGCGTCTCAAGAAGAGCAAAAAGTTTTGATTATGATGTATTATCAAGTAATATATTCAGTGACGATAGTCTCAGAACTGCCAGGGAGAAAGTGAAGAAAAACCTTTCTCTCAATGATTCCTACGGTGATAGAATTCCTGCTTTGAAAGATCAAAGCAAATCCTATTATGATTCTAATGGTGATAATAAAGCTCGTATGAAACAATTGGCCATTGAACAAATAGCTTATGATCAATTCACTGCTAATCAAGAACAACAAAGACTGCTTTATGGTTATGATTCCGAATTGAGCGCTGGTGAAACTGAAATTTATCTTCCCATTAAAGATAAAAATCGTTTTTCTACAATTCCTTTTGCAAATAGACATAGTCGTCAATTTGGTAAAGAGGACGCTGGTAAAAGAAAATACACAAATGCAATATATCAGGATATTGATTTTAAGCGTCGAGAAAAGTCGCCTGACAAGAGAACAAGTTTGAGAGACGATCTTTATAGTCCTCTCGACTCAAATGATCATATATATTGTAGTATAGATGAAGTTATGTTACCCTATTGTAATTATGACTATAAACCTGATCCATGTGATAGTTTCTTATGGGAGAAAGCGTCTCTAGAGAATCTTTATTACGGTCAATCACCTGATTTTGAATTCGAGAGAAAAAAAAATCGTCGCCGACGAACTAAAAGTACAGACTCTTATTTAGAAGACAATTATGATAATTGGGAGCCATATTATTATGATAATTTTTGTTATCATGACAAAAGAACTGATGATAATTACAATCCTAATGAGGCCTATTATCGTTATCCAGTTTATGATAGAAGAAAATCCAGTGCTTTGAAAAAGCACAGGAACTCTCGCTTTGAGACTGAATCTTATAGTAGTTATTCAAATTATCCAATGACTCAAGAATCGATGAATTTTGATAATGTAGATTATGAAAATATCCCCCAACTTCTAAGACGAAGAAACGATATTAGTTCTAGTTATTACGATAATATTCCAATTCGCGAGGATTTAGTAACGATTGCGAGAGACAATCTTAACGTACCAAGGCATCAAAGTAGAAAATTAATGAAAACACGCGCCAGATCAACTCCAATTCTCTATTTTGATCAAGATTTTATAACCGATGAAAAACGCACTCAAAAAATATATAAACGAAAACGCAACACTAGTTGTCCCGAGGCCTTTCGAACTTTTGATAGTCCACCAACGAACGATGACAGTCCCACTGATCTTCTTTTTTATGCCGACGAAAATTTTGGATCAATGGACACTGTTATTGATCGAAACTATATTTCTAAAAGTGATCATAAAGATATAAACGATAGAAATAAAATGACTCACAGATACGATAGGTATCAAAGAGATGATAAATATCAAGACAATCGAGATAGAGAAATAATGCAATCGCGTGACTACGATAGAATAGAATTTGGTTATCTCAATCGAAAGAGCAGTTGTCCCGAGTGTCGTGAAATGATGTTAGCCGAGAAATTAAAGGAATCTTCTTCTTCTTCCTCCCATGCTAATCGTCAAGATGTGCGAAGAAATTCCGACGAGATAAGACATCGATTACGAAGGCGTAACAGCAGTTGTCCCGAGGCACGTGAATTGGAATTCGTTGATAAGAAGGGTAGTAAGAGAAATGTGGCAATAAGCGATACCCTCGAGTACTATGAGTACTCGATGGAGAGCGAGAGTCAATGTAGCGAGAACTGCGGCTTTGGCCCGTCTGATCCACGTAGGCCCCGTAACCGAGCACCCCGCCCCGGTAACGCTAATTCAAATCTCTTTGATTCCCAAACCGCTACCTCCGACACTGCTAAAAACCCACGGGCCACCGTCGACCATCACGAAACTCCTACTACATCACGAAACAACACGAAACCGCAACTCTTGGCCACGAACACGCCAACCGGCGGCGATTCCTACGAACAACTACTACTACCTTCCGAATCATCGCGTCAACGCTCGCGGAAACAATCGACGACTACGCACGACTACCACTACGACGATCACCCTCACGACGATGGAAATAATCGACGATCGTCCTCTATGCCCGAAAGCAGTGACTATGCCAGCCAGAGTGGGTCCTACGAAAAAACATCCAGGCATCAAACACCCGAGAATGATCACAATGGCCACAGCAAACGGGGTCAGTTCACCAGGAGCTTTAGTAATACTGACGCACCAACGGACGAGAAAGTTGGTGAGAATATTCATTTTTCATATATACATACATTTATACTCTCTACAATTTTAGAATTTGGACTATAAATACCATAACCACGAGTGCAAAAAAGATAGAAAGATATCACTATCCTTTTTACTCTCATGATTTTTTGCTTTGTATTATAAATTTGCGCCGTCATGGAATGGACAAATAACTTTAAGCCAATAAAAAAAAATTTGCACTTTTCAAGATTGAAACTATACAATTTCAATCTTTTTACACTGATAGGAACAGGTTGGTATAGATCTTGCCACGTAAATATGTCAAAGTGTATATAAGGTTAATTCACAATGATGAGCAGGCCTTTTTAACCATCATTTATATTCACATTGCTCTTTTGTTATGTTTAGATTTTTCATTTTTGGTTGAAATAGTCATCACGTATGGCTGTATCTATTCCAATAATTTTGTATGGTAAGCGTATAGAAATAATTCTGACAATATTAAGCAGTTGTTTCCATCAGTGTAGTGTAAAGTTAGAGTCCAAATTCTAACAGTGTAGTACATTGCACAGTGGTCTGGAATTAGAAATTTTAAAACAATCCCTAACAACAAAAATCGCTGGTAATTGGGTAAATTACGCTATGTGTTAGTTTAAAATTTAGGGCCCATGAATTTACTATAAAAATTATGAGATAAAATTTTCATTTTGAAGAATTTTTCTTTTCTCAAATTAGCATTTGAAAGAAATTCTTTTTGAGGAGAGGTACCGATGAAATTTTAACTTTTTGAAGTTTTTGTTCTTTAGAGTGTCAATTTATTTTTCGACTTTATTAAGGTCATGTGATTATTGTAATTATATAATACATTTAATATAGTATTCCAATTCAAGAAAAGTTTCTTTTAGCCAAATTGAAGGAAGCAAATACTAAATTAATAAAAAAAATCTGCGATTGATACAAAGTAATTGAGTTTAATATAAATTTAATTTTATAAAATAATTAAAATTAATTTTAATCATAGTTTAGCTATGTTTTTCCTGTAATCTAAATGGAAAAATACAGATGCGTAATTCTCATCTAAATGTAAATGTCTGAATAAAAAAAAAAATTTGTTAAATCTGATTTCATTATGATTTTCCCCTAATTTTCTAAAAGATGGCAGCCTGAGTGACACAGCTGTAGGACTTCATGTTGAAGAATCGTCGAGAAGAAGTCGAAAGAGTTCACCAGGGAGTAAAAGTGGCAGCGGAAGTAGTGGTAGCGGCAGTGCCGTTCAGTATCAAAGCGGTTTGGGGAAAAAGAGCAACAGCACGAGTCAATTGTCTGCGACAGGTAAGACATCGTTATAGTTTGTTCCGTTCACGGAAATAAACTTTTTTTATAAGTTACCTTCAATTCAAGTCACTTTCAGTCTATTTATAGAATTATTACTTTCTCTCTGAAAAAAGGGAGAAAAATATTTCAAAAAAAAAAAATATAATAATATCTTTTATTTCTACAAATGTGAAATAAAAGTTTAGTTAATTTTAAAAATGTGGAAAAAAATTATGAATTTAAAAATCTCAAGAAACACTATTCGTACATTTTTATATATTTTTTTTCATAGTGAAAAGATTCCGGAATCTTTTAATCAAATTCCTATTTCACTATAGATATATTGTATGACATTATTCTAAACAATTTTCATATTTATCTTAATTTCTCATTGGTACATATAATAGTGTTACTGTCAAGTTGCTGCGGCAAAGTTTATAGTGTAGATTTTATCAACTTTCATATAGTTTGTAGAAAAACAGTAAGGGCGTGCTGTCGTTACGATATGCGGATCAAGAAAAATTGGCTTTCATTGATTTTTTAATTAAACACCATTATTACAAGGGAATAGTACCTTCATATCAGATAATGGTATAAGTTACTTTAAAAAAATTAAATATAACAAAAAATTTTAAACTACCATTTTAGGATTTATTTAATTGGATTCAATTTTATAAACATTTTTTTCGCAGTAGTAAGAGCAAAAATTATTACATTGCAAAAAAAAATATTTTTTTCAAATGATTGATTACTTGATTATTATTAAATAAATATAATAGTAATTAAAAACGAATAATTGTTATTTGAATTCAATAAATATTGTATATTCGAACCAATATTTAAAAGAAGATACTTATTTAATTAAGTCAAATAATATTATTATTTAATAATGAATATATTTATTTTTCTATATAATAGTCAAGTAATCGATTTTAATAAAAAAAAACAAAATTTTATTCTTATTTTCAAAAAAAAAATTATATATTGGATGAAACAAATTATTAATGATGGCACCCTGAATAGAATCATCATATATAGACGATAGAATCTAAAACACTTTCTAATTTTTGTCTTCTTTCTTTACCATCTCACTTCTGCGTTCGTCTTCAACATCACACATTTACACATTGACTTCTCAACCACCAACAACTTTTCGTCGTTGGAACCATAACTGTCATCGATCTGCACTACTCGCTCTGCTTGATTCTCTCGTGTGCACTATATAAAAATTAATCGATCGCGGGATTACGACACCTGCCTGAATCGATAAAAAAAAATTAATAATAATCTTCACCTTTGCCTTGCAAAAAAAAAATCGAAATTAACATCACCAACAATTACAACTACCACGACCATTACCATTATTATTCCACAAAAAAAATTATTTTTTTTTAAATTAAAAATATGACGAAATTATTCGTCGAATAAACGACACGAAAAACCATAACGTGCCTACGTGTGCGTGTCTGTTGGTGGTACATACTTGGGCGAGGAAGGCCGAAAACGGCGTATGGGGTTCGGGAAGAAGGGAAAATCGTCCTTTACAGTTCATCGAAGTGAAGAGGTTCTACCAGAGGACACTGCCAGTGGAAGAAGCGGTCGACAACCAAGTTCAGCTAGCAGCGATGGTGAAGGAAGTGGTGATGGGGACAGGTCCGCTCATTTTTTCAATCTTAGGTTTTATTAGATTTTCTTCAAAAAATTTTTATTTTGTACCATTTAAAAAAAAAATTTTTTTTAATTCAATTTTGAGAAAATTTTAATTAAGGACGTTTATATTCAGGAATGCAGACCTACAGAAAAAAATTTGACATTTAAAAAATTAAAATATTATTTATTAATAATATCCGCTGGAAAAATAGATACTAAGTTAAAAGAAACAAATTTTAAACTTATAAAAATTATTTATTTATTTTGCAGATGATCAAAATTTTCTTCATATTGCTTTTTTAACAAATTTTAAAATTGATTCAATTTAAATGAATCATGGCTTATTTTTTTCAGAAAATAATACTAAATAATAATTATTATTTTCTGAGGAAAACAAGATCATTTTTAAAAAGTTTTAAAAAAGCGATATGAAGAAAATTTTGATCATATGCAAAATATACCTATAAATAAATAATTTTTGTAAGTATTAAATTTTTTCTTAAAACTTAGTATCTGTGCTTCCAGCGAATATTATTAATAATAATATTTTTTTTCAAATAAATTCCCTTAATTTCCGGTTTTAATTTCACTGTATTTATTAATTGGTCGACACGAGTTTGATGTCCTTAATTTATACAATGTTGAAATCTACAATGTTTATAATCAACTATTAGAAAATAAATTATTTTTTAAAACAGAAAATTATATCAATTTTATCTAAAAAAAGTTTTTTTTAAATCATTTTTTGATCTATAAACATTACAAAAAAATATCTTAAAGATGAAAATTTATAGAATTTTTGATTGAAAAAATATTTTTTTAAAAAAATCGTTGATCATAAACATTGTGAACTTCAGCATCGTCTTAATTTGAATATTTATAAAAAAGTAAAAGGGAAAAAAATTTTTTTTAAATGAATATTAAATTTAAATATTTAAAATAAAATTTGAGACTTAAAAGATTTTCAATTAAAAGATAAATTATTTATTTTCTTTTATATTTTATTTTTTGTTTTTCACATTTGTTGGTTTTTCTGAGCAAACCTTCGACGAAATGTGAGTACAGGAAAAAGGGTACATTCGAAAAGAAATCAGGACAATGGTCAACAACACAATAAAAAAAAAATAATTTACAGCGAAGCACACAAAACATTAGACTTTAGATGCAATGCATTGAGTGACTAAAGAATAAAGGAAATTCGTGTTGATTGCTAATTAGAGAAAATGAATCAAAACCCTTTGAAAATTTCAAAATATTTTTTGACAAATAAAAATCTTTGTTAAGAAAGAAGAAGATACGGTATCAATAGTGAAAAAAAATTTTGTCAATCTAGACGTTTTAAAATTGTTTCCTTCTACTATCAGTAGTAAAATTCAGTTTTAGTCAGACATAAAGAATTTAATTCGTGTAATTTAAGTATCAGTAGTAAAAAACAATTTTAGTCAGACAAAACAATGGGTAACAATATAGTAGATGTTAATTTCAATCAGTCCAAACGTTTTAAAGTTTCATTTTAATAACAGTAGTAAAATGTAATTTTAGTCAAACATAAAAAATTAAATTAGTGTAATTCCTTTCACTGTAGTATATAATATTTAACTCTAGTAGTAATGTTCAATTAGAGTCAGACATGATAAGTATTCTCTTTTAAAAAAAAAACTTTTGTAAGTTTATTATTTGTTATCCTATAACAATTAAATAAGAAGATATTTATAAAAAAAAATTTAACAACATGACATTCCTTTGCCTTTTGTTACTCATTAGTTATTGTAGATTTTTGACATTTCTAATATATTATTTCATACTAATACGTGGATTTGCATATGAGTTTTTTCAATGAGGCGAATTTAATTTTAAGAATTATAATTAAATCAATAATTTTTTTTATTTCAATGATACAAATCATTTTTATATTGTATCTCCTGTTTAAGCAATGGAACAACAATAAAATGGTCAAGTATATAAATTATAATTTGATGATTATTTTCAATTTATATAAACACGGCTTATCAACATTAGAACAAATTAAGATTTAAAAATCAATTACAAAGGCATTTACTATATACACAAGTTTCTGAAATTTCATTAAATAAATTAAATTAAAAATTAAATTCATTAAAATAAAATAAAAAATGTTTAACACTGAGAAAAATATGCCGTTGATTCAATAGCATTTTCTTTTAATTTAAAAATAAATTAAATTAGAATGTAAATTTTTCTCTACCATATATATTGTAATTGACGAAAGTTAAAAAACTTTTTCAATTTTTGGGGAGGATAGAAATTATAAGACTATTTCAACTTTTTTCATTTCTATCCTTCCCAAAAATCGAAAAGGTTTTTTTTCTTACATTTTATCAATTAAAAATAAATTGTTTAATTTAAATTCATTTTCAATTAAAAAATGTTTTTAAAATAAATGAAAAACAATGTTGAAAAATACATTAGCTGATTTTTTTTTAAATCATTGAAATTTTAACAATCGAAACATTTTATATTTGTAATGTAAACAATATTTATGAGTTAAGATTAAAAGGAAAGTCGATTGAAAAAATTTAGATTATTATATCTCACACTGTTTTTTAAAGCACGAGTTTTATTTAGCGAGAAATTGAGTAGAATTTTTCTAGATGATAGAAATATATAAGCATGCACAGCTTTTATTGCCTGTACATTATATTATAATCACATGCAATTCGCTTCAATAAACTCATGTGTGATTCTATAATATGGGTTTAATAGTAATTTAGCCCAGCACAAACAAAAAGCTATATTGTTACTTGAATTAGAATAATGTTAAATAACAAATATATATAATACTTATGTCGCACAATATGTGCTTTTCTTGTTAGATATACAGCTTTTTAGATTTTATTCGCGATGAATTTAAAGCAGGTAAAGTTGGAGGTTTAAAAAAAGAAAATTTTTTTTTAGTAAGCTATCGTAACATTTGTTAAGTTTGAATTAACAAACAAAAAAAAAACAACAATTACATTCAAATGAATGTTTAGAAGCCACTGTTTATATGTTGAAGTGTGAGTGTGCCACATACACAGATATATTATATGGCTTTGATTTTACATGTACTTAGCGCTTTCGTTTTACGTCAATTTACTGCTGTACGTTAATTGAAATAATGATTTTTCTAATTTAATTAATTGGAAGATACGCGCATTGGATTTCGATCACGTGTTGTGGGAATAAAAATTCATAGTCTGCTTTTTGCATAAGCAGAAAATCCTTTTTTAATTCGAATTCGCAAAGGATCTTTCATCAACAAGTTGACACATAGTATATATATGTATAATATAGTCAATTAATATCTAGATTAATAATAAATAGTTGAGAAATTTTGAATTCTAGATTAGACCATTCCACTATTTATTTATATGTATATATAGGTATTTGGTATTTTTGAAATAATATAAAAAAAAGATCGATAAGAATTTCAGCAGCTCAAGAAGATATATTTATTAAATGATTTTTTTCATTATAAATAATGATTTTCAGCTATTCCAGAGGAGACTCGAAATATTATTTGTCATGTATATGTCGTATATATTCCTTCTTTTAAAACTCCCTCAGCACAACATCAAGATTTAAATAAATATTTTTTATAGATGGTCGAAATGATATATATATATATATATATATATATATATATATATATATAACAGGTGTTAAATCAACTTTTTTATGATTCTATAAATGTTTATTCAATATATTTTCAATTTTAATAAATGGTTAATTTTTTTTTTTTGCTTTAGTTAAATTATATATTACCCAAACAAGAAAAAAATAATATAAACTTTCAGTTGGATTTGTGGGTAGATTTTTGTATATTTAATCTTAAAAGGAAGAATAGAATGGAAAAAAAATGTATATACACTTAGGATGATGAAAGCTGAGAGAGAAGGGACCGAGAGGGAGGGAGAAAGAGAGAGTACATATGAAAGAATTATTTCAGAAATGAAAAAAAAAAAATTAGTCACGGGTGGGATGAAAAAACAACACGAAATAATATATTAATAAATTTCTTCCTTAGATATGCCTATTTAAAAATTCTGATATTGCAAATAATAATGATAATAAAAACAATGCAAAATTATAGAAATATTGAAAAACGAGTTAACGCACAGCAGTGGATTTAGTGTCAGTGAAAAAATGTCTTGTTTGATTTAAAACACAGAATGTGGAGTTGTGGGGACTGCCATGGATGCACGATGTCCTGGAATTATGAATCGCAAAAGGAACAGCACTCCAAGCAGTATACAACGTTCTCAGGAGGTGGTACCAACCTATCAACGCATTGGTAAACCTGGATCAATGGCCAGCGATACAGCTGGAAGTTTGAACTCAATCTCAAGTTCTGAAGGAAGCTCGTAAGTAGTGGCTAAAGTCCAAATCAAATCGACGGGGTGCGTCTCTCTCTCTCTCTCTCTCTCTTTCTCTTTCTCCACCCTATAATTCTCTCTTTCTTTTTTCTCTCCACTTTCTTCTTCTTCTTCTTCTTTTTTATCTTTTTTTTAAAACACTTTTCATTAAAAAATAATTTTTCATTTTAATTAAGTGCATAGTAAATTAAAGTTAATTAATTATTTCTTAACGAGAGAAAATATTTATTTTGCTTTTAAAATGCAAACTATTACGCTGAAAGAAATTAAATCTTCATATTCGAAGAGGATTTAACTCAAAAAAGCGTAAGTGTCATTTTCACATAACAAATGATAGTGAAAATGACTCATACGGTTTTTAGAGTTAAGCATTTTTCGAAATTCACGATTTAATTAATTAATTTTACTTATTACAATGATTTTATGACGCAGGGAAACAATGTTAAAATGTGAAATGTAGAAAGCGTTCAAAAGTTTGAATATAGGGTCAGTTGGGGTAAATGGGGACAAGAGGTTTTGGAGCTAAATTTACAGTTTTAAAATTAAGTCCAAAATTAAGTTCCAGACCTGGCAGAGGTTTTGAGCATAACCAAGCTTTTATCTTGACAATTGGCAGCAAGACAAAAAAAGTTATCGCTCAATGCATAAAAACTTGAAAATCAAAGTCAAACTGTTTCAGTATTTTGTCTCGCATTTCAAAGTAAACAGACTTAAAAATCATACCAAATTTTTTTCATATTCCTTATGACTCCTATAACAGAAATTCACTTGAATTTTTATTTTTTGTTAATTTGGTTAATAATGGCAAGCTGTCCCCATTTACCCTGAGTTTCAAATTTTTGTGGTAAATGGGAACAGCTTGTCATTATTAACCAAATTAACAAAAATCAAAAACTCAAGTTACTTTCTGTTATGGGAGTCATAAGGAATAAGAAAAAAATTTGGTATGATTTTTAAGTCTGTTTTTTTCAAATGGGAGACAAAATACTGAAATGGAAAAAAAATTTTTAAAATAAAAAAATTTTAATTGGTTCAATTATTATATATCTACTACAAATTTTTTTTCAAGTTTTTTTAACCCTGAATACAGTAATATACTTGAGGAAACTTTTTTCTCAAAATTTTCTTAGAAACTATACTGTCCCCATTTACCCCAAATTTTATGAAATTTTCTAAATTTTTGGGGTAAATGGGGACAGTCAGTTTTATGCGTTTAAAGCTTATCTAATTTTTTTTCTGCTGCATAAAATTAATCCTGGGAATGTAAATAACAACTTAAAAAAAATAAACCCGCAAATATTACGTTTTAAAGGAAGAAACTTACGTATTTTGTGAAAAATAGTGATTTCGTCCCCATTTACTCCAACTGACCCTACAGACAAATTTTTTAAAAAAAATTATAATTAATTTTTTTTAAAAAGAAAAAAAATAAAAAAAAAAAGAAAGAAAAAAATGGTTCTTTACAAAAGTTGCTCAGTTAAAAATTTTTTATACTATACATATATTTTTGTCTCAGAGCCAAAAGAAATATTTTGTTTCAAATAAATTTTATTTGTCGTAAATTAAATTTTTTATTTAAAACAAATAAAAAGTTATTAATTATAGACTCTGAGAAAAATGTACTTTTTTTTATTTCATTTAAATAAACGAAAATAAAAGATTTCTCTGGGTGTAAGGGATAAAAAACAGTTTAGATCCGAAAACTGAGTAATTTTGATATAAGCCAAAAGTTTTGAACGTTTAAATGAACGAAATTTTTTTACAACTTTCTTTAAGTACGAATTTTATTATAAAATATTCTAAAAAGAAGTTGATAAATTTTGTTTCAATTATTCTATAACCTATTATAAAATATTTGGCTATGTCTATATTATTTAGATTTTTGGAACACTCTATATAAATATTTATAGATATTTATAATAATACATAAATAGAAAAACTGTAAAAAAAGTTTTTGTACTTTTACATTTTTTTCCTCGCTAAAAATCGTAAAATATTTTATAATGTTTTTTTTAATAAATAACGAAAAAATTTCCAAATTATCGATAATTGACAACGTTTATTTCTATGAATGAAAACTAGATTTCCTTTCTTAATTCTGCTACTCTTTAACTTATTTTATATTTTTATAGAATCAATTATTGACCACCTTTTTTTTTTTTTTTTTTTTGAAATAGCATAATTTTATATTCTTTTTATACAGAAATGAAATATTAATTATTACAATATTGAAAGGAAAATTAAATAAATAAAGTATAAATTTTCATACATAAATACAAATTGTTTAAAATTAATTATTATAAATAAAATAATTATTTGAAATTAATTTTTAAAAATGCAATTTTATTGGAAATAAACAAATGTTTTAAAACAAACTATTTATAATTAACTAAATGAATTAAATTAAAGTTATTAATTAATTATTATTTGTTTATTAATTAAAGGAGAATAACAGAAGTAATAGATAGAACTTGAATAAAATTGAAAAATTTTGTTGAGAGAAAGAGAGAGAGAGAAAAAAAAAAGAAAAAAGAGAGAGAAGGTATACAAATGGAATGTATATATATATTAGATATTATTAATTGTCCTTGATCATATGTATAAAAAGAAAGAAGCATTTTTCCTCTTTATATGCCTATATATAATATTTTAAAAATTATTTATCTTTTTCTTTATCACTCTGACAATATTAATTGAAATGGAATGTCCATTTAATTAATTTTTACTATTTTTAATAATTAAAAATAAAAAATTTCTCGTTTCAATGTTGTTGTGGTCTTGGCTTAATGCTTGGCTAATTCAGTCGAACGCAATATCTATATTTTCCTGATGCACCTGCATCTATCAATAAATGCACTATTTGCATAATATAAAAATATATACAAAAACTTAAAGTTAGTTAATTTTACACAATTATACTTTTTTACTTTGTTATGAAAAACATTTCAAATAACTTTGATTTAAAAGAAAATACAATTAAAAAAAAATAATTTTGAGTATAATTGAAAAAGAATTTTTAAATAAAAATATCTTATTTATCTTTATCGAGTATGAAAAAATTTGACACTATATTTTAATTTAAACAAATTTGTATATAATTGTTAAATTATTCAATTTTATTCCTGATGTAAAATAATATTGTTATAGTTATATTATATAAAAATGTAGTGGAGACCGGGGCTGAAATTGTCGGGGGTAAGTTGTGCCGATAGGAATATCTCAAAAAGAAAATTTTTTTTTACTTATGCGCATCTTTGGCAACTATTTTGATTTTGTTTGCTTCATGGAATAATTAGCTGTTAGTAATTTGGTGCTTTGGCGTCACTTACGTGCAAGTTTTCATGTTTACTCTTTTTGGTCTATTTTTTGCATTTTTAAAGATATCGATACGTATTTTTTTTTAAAAAATGATCCAAATTTATCGAGGGATTTAACGGTGTATTGATCTTAACATTTTATTTATCTACTTTTTTAATATATGATAAAAAGTGAGCGTCGACGCAACGAGGTTAATTGTGCCTTTCGCTTGGGGCTGGTTGTGCCGCTGTCAATCGCTACATAACCATAATAGTTATTCCAACCCAAAATCAAGAGAAAAGTTGATTCAATGCATAGTTTGCAAAAACTGGGCACATTTAAAATGTGTGAAGGGTAAAAAAAGGGTCAGTTATATGTGTGTCAATTGTAATTTCAATAAATTGCATTCGAAATAAGTATTCATGTCTTAAAAATTATAAATTAATCAGAAAGTAGAGTTTTTACAATTAATTAACGATACAAATAATTATTTCAAAAAATATTTTAAAAGACTGACTAATTATGTAATTGTAAAATTTAAGTCAGAAATGTTTATTTATTTACAAAAATCTATAAATGTTACGATTATTGGAAAAATCCTTTGAATGTTTATAATAAAAATACTTATTACGAAAACTATATTTTAAGTGACTGACTGACTATGCAATTATAGAATATAAGTCAGAAACTGTTTATTTGTACTTACTAAAATCTAGAAATCTTAAGATTGTTCCTAAAAACCTTTAAAAGTTTATAACAAATGATTAATAAATAATAGTAAATCATATATTGGGAATAATTATTTTATTTCTTACGCGTAAAAAATCATTTGCTCTAACTGAAACAACTAAAAAATCTGAGCGGCACAACCGACCCCGGCGTCGGCACAACTTTCCCCAGCGCGGAGTTCAACGTGCACAAAATCATTTTTTACAAAAAAACTCTTCAAAATTATCAAAAAATAATAATGAATTTAAAAACTACATTAAATTTTAAAATAGATAGACTATATATTAAAACAAAAAATTCTCATTTTACTAGAATTTTATTTAGTTTTCCTAAAATCGGCACATTCAGCCCCGGTCTCTCCTATAAAATTTACAGTAACGCAGATTTTATGTCTGCATAATCTATATATTATATTGTACTATATAAAAAATTTTCTGTGTTGCAGCTTTTCTATATTCTCTAATTAATCTTTTTGATGCTATACTTAATCACACGAGAACAATGTCTGATAGTAAATTGAAAAATAACAAAATTATAAAAATAATACAAGAAACAATTATATTATTTATTTCTGAATGTAAGAAAAGAATTATTTTTATTCTATAATTATCTGATATTTTTTTCGTGTGAAATCCCTTATTATAATCAACCGTCAATGTTATATTTTTCGATGTATATATTATGACTCAATATTACATATTTATCAACAAGAAAAAGTGACCGACTTTATTAGAATAAAAATAAAATCCACAAATTTATAATTAAATCTAAAACTTTATCTTTTTTTAACTTTAAAATTTTTGAATATTTATATATAATAAAAAAATCAGATCAGCACTTTTTCTTTTTGCATTTAAAAATTTCTATATGTAATGAAATATTGCACAACATTTTTTTTTAGATACTTCTTCAATGTGTATACCAAAATATTTCCGATTTTATGTGGATGGGGCATTTCAGATGAGGCTTCGGTTGATTTTTCTTCAGTCGCGCTTTTACATGTTTTATATATATATATATCTATAATATATAAATATATCATATATATAATTTTTTTTTATTTATAAAAATATGTTTATTTAATTAAACATAAATATATGTATATTTATCATACAATGATTTCTGCTTCTTGTTGATGAAATATATGAGTGGCTGAATTGACCAAGAGTGTCATTTATATGTATATTAATTGTGAGTTGACATGATCATGTTTGAAAAAACGATTTTTTTTTTCAAAAGCATGTATAAACTAGTTTTTGTTTAACTCTTACTATAAATAATAATTAACTTTTCATTGTATTTTATAAAAATAATAATTCTAAATATTAATAATTATTATGAATAATAATGTGATTTTTTCTTTAAATAATGCAAAAAGTTGATTATTATTATTTAGAGTTTATATATTTGTGCATGAGATTGTTGCATGTAATGTATTTTGACAATAGAGCTAGATACGTCAATTTCTTCTCTTTTTTTAATTTATATAAAAAAAAAAAAGAAAAAAATTTACACTGTTAATACTCATTACACTAATATTATACTCTTATGAACGTAAGTTTTTCTTGTCCTGAATGAAAGAAAACACAAAAATCTTCTTCCAAACATTCGTCGAAGGCTTTCTATAAATCTGCGAAATACTTTTTTATCTCTATCATTTTTTATAAGATATAAATATATTAGTTTTGTTGTATATGTAAAACTAGCTTGTAAAAAAAAATTCTAACTCTTTTTTTTACTCTAATCGAGAAGTATGAATAAGCTCTAAAATTAATTTTTTAGAATTTTCATTTGACAAAACTTTTATTACCTAAAGTTGGTATTAAATTAATATCTCTCGTTTTACAGTGTAGAAATTGAGATAAATGTAATTTCTGTTAAATAATAATTCGAAAAAAATGAGAATTCGGCTAAAGGTATAAATTTAAGTAAATAAAAGTTCTGTCGAATGAAAATTCTAAAAAATTAATTTTAGTGTATCGTTTAATTTTCTTTCTAGTATTCAGGGAGTTTCGCATTTTAATTTTTTTGTTTTCAATTTATCTTATTAAAAAATTTATTTATTGCCATTATGTGTATGTATAAATTTTTATAATTTTCGATTGGAATTTGTTTTGTTTTTTTTTCTAACAAATTAATTTGATTTCTATGATTTCCCTGATACTTATAATAGAGCCTTAGTTGTAGTTGTTGGAGCATTAAATGCATTTTCTCAAAACAGTTGGTCTCCCAGTTTGCGTATGGCAGGAGAAGGTGGACAGCTAAGTGACTTTATCGAAGGAATTGGTCCTGGACAACTTGTGGGACGACAGGTTCTTGGTGCACCATCGCTTGGCGAAATTCAACTTTCTCTAAGTTACACCAAAGGCTACTTGGAAGTCGAAGTTATTCGAGCTCGATATTTGCAAGCAAAGCAGGGCAGCAAAGTTGTCCCAGGTAAGCAGAAATTTTATTTTTTTGCCAGAAGTAAGATCAAAAAAGAAGAAAAAACTAATTTTTCGAGTTTTAAAAAAAAAATTTCTTAAATGAAAAAAAAAGTTAAAATGTTATAACAAGTTTGTAAATTTCTATTTTCAGCACCTTACGTAAAAGTCTACCTTGTCAATGGAAAGAAATGTATAGCCAAAGCGAAAACAACAACTGTGAGAAAAACATTAGATCCTTTATACCAACAACATTTGCAATTTAAGGAAAATTTTCAAGGCTGCATCTTACAAGTATGTATAAATAACATTTTTGAACTAATGTTTAAATATTTTTCCTTTTGGAAAAGAAAAACATAAATTTCTTTTACAGGTGACTGTATGGGGAGATTATGGTCGATTGGAAGGACGAAAAGTATTCATGGGAGTTGCTCAGATCATGCTGGATGATCTAAATCTGAATGATATGGTGATCGGATGGTATAAGCTGTTCGGCACTACATCCCTGGTCAGTGGACCACCTTCCCTTGGTTTGTCTCGTCGATCATCAGCAGCCTCTCTCGATTCTTTAAAATTCTAAAAACATTACACACGAGCTCAAAAGAACTCTATATAATAAAATTTATTCTCTACATACCCATTAGTTTTTGCCTTCTATATAAATTACAAAAGCATGCTTTGAGATATTTACAGTTTCTCAAAAAAAAGAAAAGATAAAAAAAAACGAAATCACAAATTGATTCAATAAAGAACAAATTTTACTAATAAAAAAAAAACAAACACGACATACAATCATTCTTATAAAATACATTAGAACTTTTGGACAATTCAAATGTTGTCAACTTTAATGTAGCCATTATAATATTCTTCCAGATTGACACAAATCATTTAACATAATAATAATAATTGTCAATCACCTAATGTTCGATGCAAATTTAAATATACATATATTATAACTGATTTGAAATTTACTCAAAAAAAAAAAAAAAAGATAGAAATGTAGACAAAGCGTTTATGTCCTTTTGTCTGTAAGTCTATATTTTATATATTTTACAATGCTATATCTAAATTTTCAACAAAGTAAACAAACAAAAATTAATAGGTTTTTAAAAAGATATTAAAATTTTTAATTATTGAAAGAAAAAAAAATATATATATATATAAATTTAAAAAATATGGAATGTTAGAAAATTATGAAAAAAAGAGAGAGAGAGGACTTGCTAAAAATGTTTGACGAAAAGAATGGAAGTTAATGTTGGGGTAGTGACTAGAGTTTAAAAATGGACGGGGGAGAATGAAAGAGCGCACGAGAGAATTGTTTTTCTAGAAACACCACTAGCACATCACAAATCACGTACAGCATATCGGATGAACTACGTATGTTGACTATAGCTGTAGACGTAGCGGATTTGTTCCCGGAGCGCAAGTTTTAGGTATGCACTGAGATCAAGGCGTAGAAACATTGTTTTCTTAAAAAAAAAAAATAAGATTCCAAGCAGGTTCTAAAGTTAAAAAATTGGACATTGAAAAAATTTTTGTCCTTTAATAACAAAAAAAAAATCCTTTAACAAATTTTTTTAATTTCTAATTATTACTCGGATGATTCGACATTTTTGTTATGGATTTTAATTTTTTTCTTTTAACAAAAAAAAGGTGAAAATCAACTAAAAACATTATTTACTGCGAAAAAAAGAAGGTTTAAATATAATAAAGAAAAGAAATAATTGAAAGTTTTATTTTGTGTTAGCTTCATATTGTTTAGGGAATAAATTATCAATAATCAATCTGCGTGGGATCTTGAAAGTTTTTAAATTGTTGTTGCCAGTTAGTTAATTTGATTTTTTCTGATTGCCTGATCTTACAAAAAAAAAAATTTATCACCTGAGAATAATTTTTTCCTCACGGCTTGTAATAAAATTTGAGAAAAAACTACTTTAAAAAAAAAAATTAAAGTTAATGGATAACTTTTTATTTTAAAAAATTTTTTTCTTATAAATTTAAATTTAATATTTGTCAATTATTTAAATATTTTAAATAGTTAAATTATAATTTGGAAAATAATTACATTTTTATTTTATGAACTAATTAACTAAAAAAAAAGGTAAATTTTTTCAAAATTCGATTCTATATAGCTTTTATCAATCAAATAAGGTTCAAAAATAAATTAAAGAAAAATTAAAAAAGAAAACAAATTCTAAAAAGCCGTTTATAAAAAAATAGCAATTTGAATTGCTTGTGTACAGAAATTTTGATATTTTATAGTATATATTTTTTTGTATTTTTAGAAGTTTATAAGTAGTCAGTTATTGCTTTCGTTATTTAATTACTTATCACTCACTGTAATTTTAACACTGCACAGTATCTCATTTTCACAGTATATTCTTTTGCTCATCCCTGTAGACACGTGCAAGTTGGTGTCGTTGGTGATTTTGCGATTCGATTCAATTTTGAAAATTTTTTAAATCATTTTTCAATAAAAGGTAAGTTATAGTGTTGCCATTAAAAAAAAAAAAAAAAAAAACAATCGTCGATATGACTTTTCACCCCAATAAGTGTGCGTTGTATGTATGTAAATTTGAGCGTGGAGCGTGTGAATTAAACAAAAGGATAGTCATCATCAGAGATTTTTATTTTCTGAAAATTGTTGACAAAAATTATCTTCAAAACATATATATTGAAAATTAAAATTATATCTTTTCCAACTAATTATTAATCGTATTTTCATTTTTATAGTTTATTTCTAAAATTACTATAAATTTTTATTTTCAATTTACAAAAACAATGAAATAAAAATAAAAAAATTTTGAAAATATTTTTCTAAACATTTTCAGAAGAAAAAAATTCTCTTGATTGCTATTCAATTGAGATATCATTATTAATATATACATCTCTATTCTTTCTTTTCAGTGAACTGAAGGCAATCAAAAAAGTGAAAACAAATATCGTGAATTCAAGTGAGATGTGAAAAAACAAAATATAAAGGAACGATTTTTGAAAATGGTTGTCCATTGTGATCGCTTCTTTTGTGTAAAAATATATAAAAAAAAATTTTTTTTTTTGGCTATTGTCAAACAATATGTCCTAGCGACGAGCTGAACTGAAAAAAAACAAATTGTGACCCTTACGAGAGCCACAAAGTCTGTTTATGTAATATGTATATATTTAAAAAAAATTATTAATATCGATTATAGGTACAATTAAAATCCGCGAAAATCAATTCGAATTATGTATATTGTATAGATAAATTCGAGTGTTAAAAAAATATTTGTATATAACTTGTGACGTCGTGCAAAGACTTTTAAAAAAACTAGCAACTTGTATGCATGTATTAATTGGGAGTTGAAGTAAGAAAAATATTTCGAAAAAAAATCTTCAATATAATCCATTGAAGACGTGTTAGTCGCAGTATGTGTAACTACTGTAAATAATATTGTGATAAACTAATTTCAATGCGTCGCATCGCGAGCTTATTGTTTTAGCCGAGTGTGGCTTTTAAGCTACGTACATCTTATCAACGAAATCACGTTTTTTCTTTCTTTTTTTCTACAATTAATAATAATTACATTCAATTTTATTACGTGCCTACTCTGAAAATTATTATTGTGTTAATTAGTGTAGAGCTTTTTTTTTTGCAATATTATAATTATAATTACTCTACTCTACAGAATGAAAAATATTGCCACTTAGTCAGAAAACTTCTCATAAAGAAAAAAAATCATTAAGGGCATGTGGTACATTACTATGAAACAATTGTTATATTATTTAAAATTTTAAACTAACTTTATAATTAAAACTTTTAAAAATACTATATTCTTTTATTTTTTAGTTTTCCAAATTTATTTCTTTAGGTGAATATATTAACAACAAAATAACCTAAAATATAAATTAGGTGACAAAAAGTAATTCGACAATTTCTTGAAAAAAATAAGAAATTTGATTAAAAAATGGTTGTTAAAAATTATTCTTAACTTTTCTTTTAAATTGTTTTTTTTGCTCGCTTCCGTAGATTAAATTTGAATTAAAAATTGTTGTTACATTCACACTAAATAATAAAGAATTTGTAACGTTTACATTAAATGCCACTTTCCCTTAATTAACTCTCTTTAAATCAAAATTTATTTAATTTATTGAAATTGTGTAACTTTTCTAAATTTCTGAATTGACTAAAGAATTTTTTTTTTTTTACTAATTTAAATTAGTTTATTTCTGTTTAAATAAATTAAAAATAACTTTTTGAGAAAGCAAAGTACGATCACAATTAAGTTTATTTAATCAAGTCAAATTTCAAATTTGCTATATCTAAATCACTAATCTTTTTTTTCAAGTTTTTTTTCAATAAAATCAATTGAATCATAAATCTTGTCATTTTATTTCCGAATTTAATTTTTAATATTTTTTATTTGTGAATTTAAGAAATAAATTAAATTGTTGATTTGTTATAATTAATTTTTTTTTACTACTATCTTGATATGTTTTGTTGTTTAATATAATTAAAAGTCATTAAAAATTGATCAGAAAACATCGACAAGACGTTTTTTTTCTTTTCTGTTTGCATGTACCTGCACATGACTATACTCTTACATATCCATACGAACCAAAAGCTTATTAAAAAAAAAAAGTAAGAAAGTTTGCGCATTACAAAAATTTTTCTTTTTCTGTATAGAAATTTTTAATACAAAATGTTGAATTAATTAATAATTTCATTGATACACTATTGTTGAAAAATTCGAGTAAAATGAAAATATAAAAATCCATATTTTCTTTTTTTTTAGTTAATATTAAATTTTTGTTTTAAAAAACTTTTATTTTCTCACATTTATTTGACCTAAATAATTTTTCTTTTTCTCAAAAAAAAACATGTTTATCTTTCGTGATAATTAATAATGACTGAGTGCAAATACTTGAGATTGCATTTTGTGAAAAAAGCGCTGGATGTTCATAATAGATTGCATATAATTATTAAAAGTGATTTATAAAAAAAACCATGTAAAAAATTCGATATTATTCACTTTATAGGAGGAAGAGACATTAAAAAACATGATTGATTGTATATCTTCTGGTATATATATAATTATATATATATTAAAAGAAACCATTTGACCCAGGAAAAAAATTCATTTCATGTATTTGCAACGAAAAAAAACGACAATTAGAACAATCCAAGTAACTAATTGCAAAAAATAGTGTCCATTCTAGCTTCTAAAGATATAATAATTTCTTATACTAAACGGACTGTCAGTGTGAATCATTAAGATTCAGAAAATAAATTTAAAAAAAGAAATATTGTCTGTAATGTGCTTACCGTAGAGAGTGACAAGAAAATAATAAGAAGCTTTTTTACTCACGTGAAATTCAAGTGTAAACGAAAGAAAACAGAATAGTGTATTATAATACTAAGATGATTTCTAAATGAACATTTTTCAAACATATACCTATACATATATAAATATATATAAAAGTCAGACGACAAATCTACTGAAAAATGAATATCACAAAAAAAAAAAACGTAACTCTGTAATAAGAAAAGATAAAAAATGGATAATCGAAACTATTGTAAATCACATTATTGAGTTTGTAATCTGCCAATTACTTGCGTCAATTTGATTTTCGAAATTAGAAAATTTAATATAAATAAATATTGCAAATATATATTGCATATATATTGAAATATATATTGCATCTATATTTGAATTTTTCTTCGAAATAATTGTATCAACTTTCGAAAATCAAATTGTCGTTACACTAACGCTTGAAAAAACATAAACTTGCATATCCAGTTTCTGAAATGATGCGTCGAGAAAAATTTCTAGAAAGAGGGAAATATGTCTTCGATTTCAATTTCTTTTTTAATTGTCTCTCTATATGCGTATATATTGTCAATAATGATAAGATTTTTTTTTCAAGTTCAAAAGGGAACATTTGAATCATATAAACAAAGCAAGAATAGAAATTAGTAAATAAATCACACCGACTAATTCTTTATTTTTAAGGAATGAAACGTTAGCGTTTCATCTACTACATCAGACACATCACATTATGTATGTAACATAAGCTATGAGAGGGTATATGTATATTATGAAGAGTGATAATGCATATTATTTGTAATCACAATAAGAATGTGCTGTGCTTTGTTCAATTTAACAAAATGGCATAGCAAGAGTTTCAATCGAAAACATATTTTTTTGCGATTAATTGAAATTTTACTTAAATTTTTGTTGGCTTTACAATATATATATATAACTTGAATCAACTAATCCGACACTTTTTTTTAAATTCTAATATTACTATTCTTTAAAAAAATTAATAAAAGAGATTATTTTAATCTCAATATTTTGTAATTTATGATAAATGAAATATTGTAGATATTTCATTACATTTAAGATAAATGATAATTTGCAAATTTACTTGTAGTTGAGTTCAAATTTACCCAATTTGAAGCAAAACGTCAATTTGAATGAGACAAAATTCAAAACTTGAAACAATTTGAATATTTATCAACTGTAAACAAAAATATTTAAATTTATTAATCAATTTAAAATGATACAATAAAATTGTTATCTAGTTTTATAAACCTAGAGAAATATTTTATTCGAACTGAACAATAATGTATGAATTAAATATAGAAATAAATTTTCGCTAGAGCTAAATAACTTTTTATTTGTTTAAAATAGAAATTTCATTTGGCACTCTAATACGATTTTATTTGGCATAAATAATATTTTTCATCTGAATCAAAGAAAATTTATTTCATACATATAAATATTTATTTAGCTCTGAGAAAAATTTAATTTTTCTCTTCGTATAATAATTGTATAAAATAAAATAGTAAAATTTAATAATATATAAAAAATCAAATTCCGAGCTTATTGAAAAAATAAATTCATGTAAATGTCAAATTACTTGATTCAAGTAATTTCAATTATCAGAAGCAAAAAAAAATTTGTTTTTTAATATTTAAGTTATTAATCTAAAATTATTCATGCAACTTAGGTAATGTTTTAAAACTTTATTATTTAAATTTAAATTCAGTCAATTTCAGATTCTAAACTCTCGTTTTTAGACAAAAAAAAAATATTTATTTCACGTTTATTTGATAAATAAAATTTATTTGAATGGAAATCAAAAATATATTTGTCTTAGAGTTTTATAAAATTTTATTTGTTTTAAATAATACATTTATTTAGCATAAATAAAATTTTATTTAGCGCAAATAATATTTTTATTTTAATCAAATAAATATTTATTTGGATCTGAGACAAATATATTTTTTCTCGGGGTATAATTTTCAAAAAAAATTGTTAAATGTAAATTTTTTTTTGATTTTTAAACTTGCATAAAACAACATGTGCCTCAAAGAGGGTTAATGAATTTTATTTTGATAAAACATGTAAGGTGTGTAATAAATTGAAAGAATCATTGATTTGAACCCTTGCAGTGCGATTTGTAAATAGGCATGCTCAATCTTAGATCACACATCTACATATATATAAGACAAGGTGGATCACATTTACATTATAATATATTAACGAACAAATTAATTAATATCTGACTTTGTACCTATATACTAATTAACTTTTAACAAAAAACTCATAACGATATCGACTTTATAGTAAACGATGTTGGAATACGGGGAAAAGAAATGAGATGAAATTTTAAGAGGAATGATTCAATGATTCACGATTTATTAGAGAATTTTGCAAGGAGTCCAAACTAGTATCAATAATATTGTGCGGAATTTTCCAAATGATATTCAATCAGTTTTTTTCATTTTCGTGACATTTCGAAAATTTACAAATCATTCAATTTAAATTTAAATTCCTCAATATAACTAAATCATAAACCTAAAATTCTATTTGGAAAAAATTTGTTGCAATTTTAAAATTGAATTTTAATTTGTTTTAAAACTAATATTCATTTAGTTTTTATTAAAATTTCGATTCTTTTGAATCGCACTTTGGAAAAGAAAAACAAATATTTGCGGATATAAATAATTCTCAACAAAACAGACTAAAAGTCAATCCGAAATTTTTGGTACTTCTAATATCTGGACAAAAAAAAAACGTACATTGTCTGATGGGCATTTTTTGTCAAATTTAGTTAAACTTTTTTAGGTTTAAATTGTAAAGCAAGTGTGTGTGTAAAGAGAGAGAAAGAGAAAACGAGAGAATGTTATGTTTTTGAAAAGGATATAGAAAAGAAATTGTATGCAAGAGAGAAAAAACAATGCCAAAATCATTATGTATCAAATCGATTACTGACTTCCTTATAGAGCAAGTTCAGCTTAGTAATAGGTACGACTTTGTAACTTGCACCGAATTTTCAAATTTACTTGTGTATCAATATTAAAAAAAAAATTAAATTTTTCCTTTATTTCTTTTATTAGAATAATTTTATAAGAAAAAAAAATTGGGAAATCATTATATAAATTGTCAATACAAAAAAAATAGTCTGACATATATTTATATATATTTTTGAAATTGATACACAAGTTGATGAAATATAGAAATCCCCGCTTGAGTATTAAAAAAAAGCGAGTATTCATGTACTTGCGTACATTAGTCGATACATCAAAAACAGGCTTCGTTAATTTTTTATTTGTCAATGGTTATAGGCCAGTTTTTTTCTCGAAAATGCGCGAGAGAGTAAGCAATATGTTTCAGAGAGAAATTGTCAGAAAGAAAAAGGGAGAGAAACAGAGAGATTGAATTATTTCTGAAAAATGTCATTTTGGAGCGAAAGAAAAGAAAACAAATTATAAGCGCAGTATGATATGAAAATAAACACGAAATAGGCTGACGAGAATCCAATGGAATAATAATAATTATTATTATATGTGGATGAAAGCTTTTGGCTGAAAATAGGGAAATTTTTTTTTTGTTTTAAAAAAAGAAAAATAAACACAACTTGTACATAAATTGCGTGCTAACGGATTGCGTCGCACATCAGTCAAAAGCAATTTTTCCAAATACATATAGGATTCGCGACAGCGTTTTACGTGTAACGATTAATATAAAGCGTTAGTGACTGTATCCAGTATAATACAGGAAAATACCCCCAATGCCAGACATGGCGTGTGACAATAAAGTGATTCAATGATATTTCCTTTTTTTTATCCTTTGAAATTAATCCTTAAATATATGAGGCATTTCATATGAGAATACGGGGTCATGTCTCGGATTTTTCTTAAAATTCGGTAAATTGTAGTGATAGTGGTGCTAAATAAGTGTACAAATTTTGAATTTGAAATTTTTAATATTTTTATTTATTTTATATTTGGCTCAAAATTTCTGAAGTGGGCCACTAATTTTTCGATGGCGAGATTTTTATAAGTCATATCAATAATTTTATAGTATTTTCGAATCAAAATAAGATCCTAAAGTTATATTGCAAAATTTTAATTTTTTTAAGAGTTATTGTTTAAACAATTTTTAAGCAGCCAATTAGTAAAAAAAGCTTTTCTACGGTTCCATTTGATGGATTTTGATGAAATTTGGTATGAGTAATGTACAATAACCATGCTTTCAAATAAAAAAAATTTGATTCATTTTGTTCATAATTTGTTGAAAATAGCAACAATTATTATAAACAAATGAAAATTTAATAACCTTCTGCGCCTAATTTCGTATTTTTTCTTGTCAATTATGATTCCCTATTTTATCACGAGTATTTAAAAAAAAAGTCAGTATATTGCATTAGGTCAAAAGTTATTAATATATTTGTGATCGCGGTCCGAGAACTAAGTGGAACGCCGCGCCGGACGAATACGCTGAAACACGTTAGAACACGAACGCGCTCATATTAAATTAAATAAATATTCATATTTATTTGTAATTTCCCTTACTATTAAAAAATTATATCTGCATAATATTTAATAATTTTTCTATTTGTACAGAATATTTTGTATACGTAAGTATTTTAAATGCCAATTCGTTTACGAGTATTTTAAAGTTTATTGTTTATGAAAATTATAACCTTATATCACAAATATTTTTCACACTCTGCTTCTATTTCTCATGAAAAATAAAAATTTTGCAAGATAACTTTAGGATCTTATTTTGATTCGAAAATACTATGAAATTATTGATATGACTTATAAAAATCTCGCCATCGAAAAATTAGTGGCCCACTTCAGAAATTTTGAGCCATTTATATTTGTATAGAATTAAAAAAATCAATCGAAGATCAGAAAAAATATCATTAAGCAGGAGTGTATAAATTTAATAGTAAAGTTCGTTTTTTAATTTTGTGGTTTTGTATGGTCTAAAACAATCCTTATATTATGTGAGAGAAATTTCGGTGCGTAAAGTAAATTTCAATGTGTAAAGTAATATTTCAGTGCGTAAAGTAAATTTCAGTGCGTAAAGTGAATCACTTTATACACCGTTTGAAAAAGAGCTTCTTTACACACAATTTTCGGTGTGTAAAATTTAACTTTAGAGGTTAGTGTTGCAAAAAAATAATTTTTTTCTAAAAGTTTAAGGTCTTCTGCGTAAAAAACATTTACAACATTTTTCTCTATTTTTACTAGGAAAAAAGTTATAAGTAAATTAAAAAAATATTGCTGAAATTTGTTATTGTAAATATCTCGAAAAATATAAAAAATTTCAAATTCAAAATTTGTACACTTATTTAGCACCACTTTTACTACAATTTACCGAATTTTGAGAAAAATCCGAGACATGACCCCGTATTCTCATATGAAATGCCTCATATATATATACAATAACGATGTTTTTCTTTTTATTTTTAAATAATTTTATTTTAATTTTAAATAGGAAAGAGTGGGGAGTTTTGCACCGGGTTTTATTTTTCGATCAAAACTATATTATATAAATTTTTTTTGTTGAGTATTCTGTTATATATAGAACTTTTAGTACACGTACAAACACAACTTTTGGCATGATTGATCAAGTGAAATTCAAAACGGAAATATAAATTTTGCTTGTTTTTCGAAAATACTGGTTTTATGACTTTTCAAAAAACGTGGGGAATTGTCCTCCATCGTTGAAAATTGAAGAAAAAAATTTGATCGTGACAACGTCTTTTTTAATTAATTAAAATATATTTTAAAAAATTTTTATTTAGTATTTATTTTGTACTTAAACACACTAAAAAAGAAATTTATTTGATTACCTCGAAGTAAGATGTTGTCACGTCAAAAAATACAACTAAAATTTTTGTAATAAAATTTTTCCAATAAATTCAAATATTTACCTTGATAACGAATTTTCAACTTCAAGGAGATTCTTTCTAACTAAATAGCCCTCGGAGATCCCTACTTTCAAGTTAAATTTTCATTCAGAAAATGTGAATAATAACCGTAAAAATAGACCGAGTTCTAAAAAGTCTGAATATGAAGAATTCTGTGTCCTTCAAGATTCTCTTTTTTACTTTTGCCCATATTTTTGAAGTACGTGACACCACAAGCCATCGAGGATAGAATCTGCAAAAAGAAAAATTAAAATACTGTCAGCGCTGTACTAACATGTAGTTAAATCTTTAACCGGTCGGTAATATAGAAATCTATTAAAAATTTCATTTCCAAATTTGACAAAAATAAGTGTGGCATCGAGACTAAACATAAAGTAATCAAATAACACACAAAAATCTTCAAAATATGTCTTATTGTTTTCAAGAACTCGGCGTCGATATGAATGCTAATTTTTCTGACTGACTCCCTAAACCTCGGACTAAGACTACTTTAAAAGATAATAATTGTTTGTAGTGCCGCAAAATCAATCAAAGAAACAGAATGATTATTATAAGTAAATTTTTTATATTAACATTTGACTTAATTCTTATTTGGCCTAATTTTTATTAAATCTAAGTTTTGGCCTATAAAATTTTTTTAAACTTTATTCATATTTGACCTAATATTTATTTGATCTAATTTCTTAATTTGGTTTAATTTTATGAAATTTTATGCAATTTGATTTACTTTTATGTAATATGAAAATGTAAGATGTAAATCGGAAGTTCGTCCGAAACCGAAAGTTGAGGACTTTGAATAAATAATAATAATATTTGATCTAATTGTTATGTAACCTAATTCTTAATTTGGCATAATTATTATCTGTTATTGAAATTATATAAATTAAATGAAAAAAATAAATTAGGTCACATAAGAATTAGGTTAAATAAAGATTAAGTTACATTAGAATTAGATGGCAAATTTTGTCTTTTCTTAATATATTCAAAAAAAATTTAAAGTTTTAGAGTAAACTTCTACTTTTATCGACTTCTTTAATTCGGAAACTATCAAAATTCCCCAACGGCAGATTTCCCCAAGCGGCGTTTGACCCAATATGCTATAGTTAGTGTTATTCTCGATGGTGGATGAGAAATCTGTAAAAATGATAAAAGTGAAGGTCTGAGAAGCCCGCGAGATGTCTATAGTATCACAGTTTGTGTATTATTACAAATAGACATTGGCGTGGAGATTTAGGGAATGCAGAAAATAAAGTGAAATAGTTTTCTTCGCGGATATAGTGAACGTGATGTTTTTATAAATAAGTAAATTGCTTATTTGATTAATTAATGAATTAATATTATGAATTAATTAATGAATTAATATTATGAATTAATTAATTAATATTATAAATTGATGGAATAATTAATTAATTAACATTATTGATATTATCAATTGATTGATTGATTAATTAATTAATTAATTAATATTATTAATTAATTAATTAATTAACAGTGACTGGAAGAAATAACGAGTAGTAAAATTATGGATACCAATTTTGAGGTTAGTTTAAATTTTATTTTCAATGAAAATAATAATAATTTTGCGATTGCATAAAAAATGATTTTTTTCAGCGATCTCATGTAATGAATTTTCATCTAATTACATCAATTTAAACGCATGTAAAATTCACTGCGAAAGTCTACTCAACTGTAAATTGGTTTTCATTAAGAAAATATTTTCACAACAAACATAGAATAAGTTATCAATGATTAGACACCTTCTAAATAATATTGGCATTTTTCATTTTCAAAAATTAAATTTTTATTCCATTCTTCAAGTAGGCTAATTAAAAAAATTCTATTCCTAGCCTAATAGACGCAAGAGTTAGTATTGTTATTATGAACATATGCCTAATTATTGTTCGATTTAGTAAACAATAATTTTTCGATTGGATAAAATATGATTTTTTTCAGCGATCTCATGTAATGAATTTTCATCTAATTAGATCAGTTTGATAACGCATGTAAAATTCACTGTAAAAGGTTTTCTCAACTGTAAATTGGTTTTCATTAAGAAAATATTTTCTCAACAAACATAGAATAAGTTAACAATGATTAGACACCTTCTAAATCATATTGGCATTTTTTATTTTTAGAAATAAAATTTTTATACCATTCTCCAAGTATGCTAATTGAAAAAATTCTATTCCTAGCCTAATAGACGCAAGAGTTATTATTGTTATTGTGAACATGGGCCTAATTATTGTTTGATTTAGTAAACAATAATTTTTCGACTGGATAAAAAATGATTTTTTTCAGCGATCTCAAGTAATGAATTTTCATCTAATTAGATGAGTTTGATAACGCATGTAAAATTCACTGTAAAAGGTTTTCTCAACTGTAAATTGGTTTTCATTAAGAAAATATTTTTAGAACAAACATAGAATAGGTTAATAATAATTTGTACACCATCCAAATCATATTGGCATTTTTAATTTTTGGAAATAAAATTTTTATTCTATTCTTCAATTATGCTAATTAAAAAATTCTATTCCTAGCATAATAGACAACCAAGTGATTATTATTATCGTGAACATGGGCCTAATTGTGGTTCGATTCAGTAAACAATCTCTTTTCAATTGAATATAAAATTATTCTCTTTCAGCGATCTCAGGTAATGAATTTTCATCTAATTAGATCAGTTTAAACGCATGTAAAATTCACTGCGAAGGTTTACTCAACTGTAAATTGGATTTCATTAAGAAAATATTTTTACAACAAACATGGAATAAGTTAACAATGATTAGACACCTTCTAAATCATATTGGCATTTTTCATCTTTGAAAATAAAATTTTTATTCTATTTTCCAACTATGCTAATTAAAAGAATTCTATTCCTAGCATAATAGACGCCAGAGTTATTATTGTTATTGTGAACATGGGCCTAATCTTGGTCTCAATTTAGAATTTTTAAAAATGAAAATTGTGGATTCTGTGACATAATAAATTTGAAAACCGTCTATTCCACCTCATGGAAATTATTACCTTTTTCTCTCCACCCTATACTAAAATCAAACAAAACAGCTATTTTGAAAATGATTATTTAATATTGAACGAAATCTGTTATGTAGATGATGAGATGGAGGAATAAAAATATACATTAAGATAAACAATTTATTAAAAAGATTTCATATTGTTATCAATAATCAAGTAACACATGTTATTTGTTTTTTTAAGGCAGCAAAGCAGTCTTAAATTGAGGGGCTGATAATAAAAGTGGTTTAAAATAATGTAACCGAACAAATAATCGTACGGTGACAAATAATAAATAAATATAACGAAATTACAATCCAGAGAATAAATATAAAATTTTAGCGACTAATAATATGATCAAATATAAAATGATAAAAATGAAATCTACTGGTCAATTTAATAAGCTTTATATATAGATATTCAAATTATTGGGCTGCAGTCCCGTACATTAAACAAAAAAAATCAAAAAGAAAATAGAAATACATATATGTAAAACGATTGTAAAAAATATAAATAAATAAATAAATTCACACACACACACAAATATATATATAAGAATATAACGTTCAATATTAAACGTGTCAATAGGAAGATGTAAATAATAAAAATGAATTCGTCAAATAAAAAGAAGAGCAGAAAAATAAATATACTTATCGGACAGCGGTATGAAACAAAACACACAATATAGGGCTTCTGGCACGCAGGAATTCAAATTAGGCACTCCAAAATTAAATCTTTTTCAGTTATCCACGAACGAATTTCCATCCCTTCTTTACGTGATTGTTCGGGTGATGATCCCTGGTGGATTCAGTTATATAAAAATGTTCCCACAAGAAACATGCCCGTGTGTTTGAGATCTGCCCACTATTTCGCCACACTATCCGTATAGCACAATAAAAAAAACAATATAATGAATATAACTGATACGATAAAATTACTTTTAAAATGTCTACTTATTTAAAACTCTCACCTATCAGTGTCCGCGGCTGGCACTTGAGAATGCGGCGAGATCCCGCTGTCCGATTCGAGATATGATGACGAAGTGAAGCCACCAAATCATCATTTCCAGAATCGTGAGCGGTTTTCCCGGTAATTCCCCCCACCTCTACATATTACCAAGAAATCACAGACACCGATAGGCCAATTAATTTTATTTTCTAAATTTCTCCCGCGTTCCACCCGAAATCACCACCCGGCAACCCGACATACACACTTGCTTAACATTAAGTCATAATCATTGCTTCAATAACAATGGGAGCAAGAGTTGAATAAGTGACTTGGGAGCAAAAACGGGTTAAAATGATTTGTGTACTTTATTGATAAATTCATTATATTATCGATCAAAAAATATTAACAATAGTAAAAAGGGCTTATTTTATTATGATTACTATTTTTTAATCGATAATATAATGAATTTATCAATAAATTACACGAATCACTTTAACCCGTCCGTTTTTGCAATGCCATCACTGCCTGCGACAACAATTGCAGAAAGAGTCATTGTACATCATTCTGGTAAAAATATTGAATTTCCTCAATAGAAATGTAAAAAAACATATTTTTAGAAATTAAAATTTTTATATAATTGGAAAGAAAACATTTATGTCAAATTTAACAATAACATCAGAAACATTGCCAAAATTTAATTATTTTCCAGCTACGATGATGTCAACTAAAATACCTGCAGTTGTTAGAAGGGACATTGAACCAAGGCTTGTAAGATTAGTTATTACAAATTTATTACTAGTAAAAAAAACTTTTATCAGTTAGAAGTCATGAGATTGAAGGAATATATTTTTTCAGCTACATCAACAATACAGACGGATAAACCAAAGCCACAATTGAGAATTTTAGATGCCAAAAGAATTGGTAAGAATAAAATTTAATATTATAGGAGACAGTAGGATAGCACCTCAATTTCAAGGTTTCTGTTCAATAAATTCAATGTATGGACACGGCCCAGATAGCACCGTCATTTGATGGTACTAGATTGGAAGTTATCCGCGTAAAGTTTAATATGGTCACACAGTTAATTTCCAGCAAATTTTCTTTTTGTGAAAAAACAATTGCATCAATCTAGTGATAAATTCCATTACATGACAAATTGTATCAATCATTCAAAAATGGGACGATTCCATGTATAATGGGAATTATAAATTACTATAACTTTCAGTAACATGGTTCGATAAACAGAAAGTGATGTTGAGTGGCCTACCCCATTGCCCATTACATTATTTTATCGAGAATCTTTATAATCAGAACCATTTACTAATTTACATATTTCTGCAGTGATAGTGAAGATGGTAAAGTCTCAAAAAGACAAGAAATAATGAAGACAGGAAATAACATCCATTGCAACATCTGCGGAGAAAGTTACGCAAAGCAAGAGAATCACCAAATATTTTAAATTTAAATAATTCTTACCTAGAAATAGTCAACACCATGACAGTATTTTTAATCGTAAGCTATCTTTAAAATTTTTACATTGCAAACAATCATTCTAATTCTTGTTGGATATCTTTGGAAAGTATTTTATTTTTTTCGACATCGCTTTTCAATTGTGACAGATCTTGACCCGTGTCTGTTGAAACCAAGAAATTCTGCTCCTATATTTCCACTTTGAGTAATTTGATGACTGATTTCGCACAATTCCGTTTTTTTTCAAATTTTTAAGAACTATTTTATTCGAGTTTGGTCCAATCTCCTGTTTTATCACTCGGTGTTTTCGAATTTTAAATTTCTCTTTACCAAAATCTGCTGTCGATTGAAGAAAGAAGAGTTAATTTGAATTTATTCAATTGAAAAACTTTATATATATCAACTTTTCAAAGAAACCAAAATAAATGTGGGGTTATGTTCATATTTGATAGAAAAAAATTGTTGAATTTTGTATTTAGATTTTAGAGTCTTCTTATTTTTGCTTGTATTTAGTTTTGTCAAAATCTCCCACTCTTAACTTTCTTGTATACCTGAAGGGAAGCAAATGGTTTTCACCAAAACCCTAAGTGAGTAGTACGAGCTGAGCTCTCTGACGAGAACCTTGAAATTGAAAGACTCAGCCTCTTCGCGCTCTTTTATGTAAACTTTTTGACATTTCACTCATTTATTGAATTTATAATAAATCTATAATTAAACAGTGATTTATTGTGTCCAAGTTCAATTCTACCTGATATTTTTAACAAAAATATTTAAAAATTAAGTGCCATTAGAATCTTTTTCATAAATTGAAAGATATCCCCTATGTCCTTCTTTTAATAAATTTTTGTTTAATCAATCTCCTAAAAATAATACAAATATAATTTAGTCCTATATTTTGACTTAGCTATCCTAAAAAAATGTGACATACGCTCAAGAAACAGATATCAAAACAGCATTTTGTTTTAATATTTGTAATAAGAAGTGAAACCGATTCATGCTACTTATAGATTAAGAAATAGAAGAAATATTAAATATTTTATCATTGATTCTGAATTTTCAATTACAAGTATACAGGAAATGCGTTGTACTGACAGACACTCAAATATAGTAGGAAATAGTTTCATAAACATGTGCATGCGTACGAACACATTACATCGATTTCCTTTATACCTACATACTTTTAAAATACATTTTCCATTATACTTGTAATACTATTTACAACAAAGGAAAAAATTGTATTGTGTTTAAACATTTACAAAGAACGAAGTATTCAATTTTCATATCCAGATATCAAACTTTCAGTATTCCCAAATGTCTAGAAACTACTATAAAATTTATCTCAATTATTGAGAGTTTTACATAAATTCTTATTTTATTAGAAATAACAAAATGCGTTCAAGTATTTTTTAATTACACTTTAAATAAAACTTTAAAAATAACATTAGGCGCTATTGTTTTACAAAATAAGAATCCCTTTTATTTTTCTTTTATATATTTTTTTAAATAAATTCCTCATTTTGTTTAAATGACAATTACATTTGTAACGAAAATATTAATGTACTCGATGTAATATAAATATTATGTAAAGACATAAACATGGAAATAATGGAGGATCTGAACTGTTATTTATTTTTCTCCATTCTATAAATAAGCCCTGTAACTGAATTGGTTGATAGGCGTGGTTTAGTTTTATACACAGTGTCCAAGTACTGCTAAATTGAAAGCAGGAAGAAAATTTTTAAATTATTGTCATTCTAAAAGTGTAACTAGTAATTGCATTTTATGAAGGCAATGTCTCCACACATCTACATTAACTAAAAAAATTGAATCACATGTTGTTTGTTTATTAGTAACAATCTGAAATCTTTCTTTTTAATAAATTGGTTATCTTATAATGTGTATTCTTATTCTTTCATTTCATCACCTTCATAACAGATTTTGTTCAACATTAAATAAACATTTTCAAAATAGTATAAAACTATTCAATATAGTATATTTTTTAATTCAGTAAAGTGGGATGAAAATAATAATTTTTAACTTTTCTATGTTACAGGATCCACAATTTTCATTTTTTTAAATTCTAAATTGAGAACATGATCCCGTTTAGTTCTTATATGATTCAAACCCATTGTGAAAAATTGTTTCAATGTAGTTAATAAGAGAACGTTAATACGTGAACAACGAAAGTATTGCAAGTAACTTTTTTACACCACCTGGTGGTTAAAATTTGTTGTAAATATAGAAACGTAGGCATTTTCTCCCTCAAAAGGACTATTGAAATTGCTTCTCCCACTTCCCAGTAGAATACCTATGAAGTTCCTGTTTGAAAAAGAAACTTCCTGCAGCTTCGAAGTTGAAATTTTCTATGCTCTCTTATTGTGGGCAAAATAATGTTAGAATTTAATGCTACTATAGTTGCAGACAACTTTGCTCCAGCAAAAAGATTATCGAAATCGATTTTCCTACTTACCAAAAGGAAACTTGTGCTTTCAACTTCGTTGAAAAAAAATTTCCTGCAGAGTTGACGTTGAAATTTTCTATGTTCTCTTATTGTGAGCATAAATAAAGTAACAATTTACTGTTAATATGGTATCGTATGACATTGCTCCCTCAAAAAGACTTTTTTTTTTTTTTTTTTTTTGCTTAGGGAATTTTGGGAAAATCTGTATACAGATACCTCGGCTTCCGCATGCCAAGGTTATGTGGGGTTGGTAAAAAAAAAAGGAGAACACTAAACAAAATAAGCTGGCGAACTACTACCAGCCCCGACCCACTAAAAAACCCGTCAACCCTTCTTGGGAGCCCTTTTATCCACCCTCGGTACTGTCGTGAAGACTTTTGCCTTCGAGGGTGGCGCTCCAACTCTGTCGCATAAGCGACTTCGTCCAGTCCTGTGGACATCCTGCGTTATCAATTTTTAAAAATAAACCGAAAATCTCTGTCAAGCGAAATCAACAGCACACCATAAAAGAAAACAATAAAAAGACAATAAATAAAAGAAAAGTAAAATAAACACAGTCAAATATAAAATTGTAAAAAGACAGATGAACACACAAAATATAACATAAAACTGTAAAAAGACTAAAATAAATGAATCCTACTCACCAGTAAAAAAATTGTCAAGTTCCTGGTTAAAAAAAAAAATTTCCTGCAGTTCACAGTTAAGTAAACTTTTGCAGTGAATTTTACATGCTTTTAAATTGATGTAATTAGATGAAAATTCATTACATGAGATCGCTGAAAAAAATAATTTTTTATGCTATCGCAAAATTATTGTTTACAAAATCGAACAATACCCAATCAAAAATTTACTAATGGCGCAGTACTGACAAGTGTTGGCGCAGTACTGGCACCCAGTATTGGCACCAGAGTTGGCGTAACTTTGGGATGATAACATTTTACCAGTATTAGCTGCCAGAGTTGGCACCAGTACTGGTAACCACTACTGGTTCAGTACAGGCTGAGTACTGGTAGTTTTGTAATTTATTGTATACGAAAAGAAACCTTTAACTGTAACAGAGATAAGTTTCACTGCAATAGTGAAATCTCTGCTCAAATACTTTTTTCGAGACTTTTTTTTTTTAGGAAAAAGTGTGTGAAATTTTTAGTAACCCAACACAAATTAAATATTAATTAAATTAGTCAACTAACTAATTAATATTTTATTATATATAAAATCGAAAACACCAAGAGTTTTTA